GGAACACAAAGCCAGTCATTCCATGATACCACTGAAAACGTCTACTTTGGCGACATCTCGTATGATCAGCAGGAATCTCGCTTGCTCGAACAACAAGCATAGATGACAACCGCACAAATATTAATAGCACAAATGTTGGCTACCGTAAAGCAAATGACCAACACGGACAGCCCTGCTGCAAAGTTACCCCCCCCCCCCACTCCAATTATCAGCTGTTTTGGTCCCAAAGTGATGCGATGCCTGGGCTTTCCAGATATTTTCGAGAAATTTAAAGATATTTCATTCCGGCCTTCTCGTTCGTCAGCTGGAGGAAAAGTTTTTCCTCAAACATTTTACATTACTTTAGCACCGGGAATTCATACTCTCCAAAATATTGACCTATTTCATATGCCGTGAACAAAGCGTTGAAATGACTTAGGGCAGGGCTTCCCAACCCAGGGGCTCGGTTCCAGTACAAACCCCAGCGCTTGGCCGTTGATTTACGGTACAATGCAAAAAAGAAACGCTAAAATCGCGTATCCACACCCTCGGACAGCTTGAAGTCGGTCACGAACCCCAGGGCTTGCCATGGGTCGTGATTTTTGGGGTCGCGCATGAAAAAGGTTGGGAAATGAATGAAAGAACGACCATCCCCCGACATGCCTCAAATTAGTTTTCTTCGACCATACCAAAAACGTTGAAACATGTCATTCAATGTTAATTCATCAGCCTAAATTTCAAAGTAACTTAGAAATTGTACTTTCATTTCAATGCAGCATAGACGAGGTAAATGATATGATCAGGGCGAAAGGAAAAAGAGGCAAAGCTTAAACGAAGAAGGAAAGATGAATTGGAGGTGATGAAAAGGACAATGGAGAATATACGGTGGATGATATTACTGAGTTCGATGGATTCTTCCTTGTCCGATCTGGCTAACCCCTGTTCCATGGCGAACGGGCAGGAGTCATTCAATGAGCTATTTATGAATCATTTCCCTCAAGTGGAGAAAATTCACTATTGTGGAAAGGAAACGGGCATAGCGTGCTTTGAAGAGACTGCAAGAGATGAGAGGGAAGGAATTCGTTCGCCAACGGACTCGTTATCAGTGCGAGGGGGAAGGTGGAAAGGAAGCCAGAAGTAGGGGAGATGGATATCTGCATCGGAAGGGGTGAGCCAAGGTCGACCACTGTTCGAAGGAAGAAAGGGAGGGTATAAAAGCTGTTGCAAGCCGATACCCTGATCAGTCCCGAAGTGGTCTCATTCTTCACCAGTTTCCTTCGACTTGATCACCACTGAAGGGTAAGTACTTGTCCTTGTTTATTATGACTGTGGTGAAAATATTTCAGGTGTGAGGAATTGTGGCGAATTTCTGATGTTTAAAATTATACAGTGGATGCTACCAGGAAGACGGGAGGTGATGCGACACAACCACATTAGAGGTTCTCTAGTGCCACCAATGGGGATGACGAACGGAGGCTCCCGTTCAGGGCGCCATCTGCAGAGGATGAAATACGTTGGATAACCTGGGATTGGCGCCATTTCTGGAGGGAATGAGGAACCGATGACGCTGTCGCTGGCGCCATATCTGGAGGCGAGGGCGAATTGTTGATCTTGACGCTTGCGCCGTCTCTGGAGGGAGAATGGTATCCCGTATCTGCTTAGAGAACAGAAGAATAACTCTGTCTCTTGGTTGTTACTCTACTGCATGGCAGGAAAGGAACAAGTCTTCATTCTCTCTGTAAGAGCTGCTCCCGACATCTCCAAAGTAAACTCTGATGGCGCGGAAATAATATTCCGTAATGGGTAAGGGAAAACAGAAGAGTAACTCTATCCGGCTCTGTGTCCGGGCTATTATTCCTTTCCTGCCTTGCAGAAGAGTATGTCTTATCCCCGTCGAGCTCCTCCCAACATCCAGTGAACTCCGAAGTAAGCGCTAATATTGCTGGGGATGGGAAAGATATTACTCATTAAGTTCCCGATGTGGAAGCTAACGAAATGACCTCTGTGCAAGCACACTCTCTTGGCTCCCTCTTGACTTCATTTTCCTTCACTCCCCCCTTGGCTGTCTTCTTCCAAGGGGTTTTGGAAGTTAACAGCCATTCATCAAAGTAATTCAGATGTGAAATATCGTCAGCGATCAGAAACCAATGTGGTTCCTCCAACTGGAGTGACAGTGGCGGTTAGGTCCGTACGGTTGCTTCTGTACATGAATGACGCAATTGGCGTCGAAGACTAGCACGGCGACCCATCCCATCAAGAGCTCCAATTTTATCTCGAAGCTCTTCCCCTCTCGATGTGAGACGGTGTCTTTCCCTGCCACGCCTTGGGCTGGAGACACCTGGTTTCCACAGAGATGCACGAGGAGTGTCCTCCCATCCTCATACGGAGGGCGAAGGTCACGAAAGAATTTTTGTAACCTTCACTGTCACAACAACCAGTCAGAAACGTTATACACAAAACACATTAATTTACTCTTAAACAAAGACGTGGGCGTGTTCTAACCACGTTAACCACAAACGACTAGACAGGAACCTAACATATTGCTAAAGAATAAGGCCAAGACCCCAATAGCAGGAAAAAAATCTGTTTCTCATTTTATCAAGTTGCACAAACTTTTACCCTCGCGAAACGTGCTACGTAAGGAACATTGGAAGAAAAAAAACTTTGATAATCCCAAAGCATTCTCATCACAGCCAACCTTTCCCTAAGGAAGGAATGTAATGGCAACAACCGCAGCAATGACCCGATAACGACCGATAAGCATAAAGTCTGAGGCAGAAGCGTCCTGCTGGAACATGAGCCAAAAGGACACGACGGATAACCGGCAGTCGCATCGTGGGAGGCGAGGATGCACAGACAGAATTCTCTTATCGTCGTCTCGCTGAGGAAATCCTTGAAACGCTCGCGTCACTTTTGCGGGGGGGATCTCTGGCCGACGCTAATCACGACCTCACCGCCGCTCACTGCGTCTCATTGTCGAATCTGTTTCCCACCAATTTTCTTTTTTTTTTTTTACTGTATCCATTTTTCATCCTCTGCAGCTATACCCTATACCCATTTATATACGATAACGCTAGGGTTATCGGAAAACATGAAAAATGCCTAAATTGTAGAAATATTAGATTTAAAAAAGTCTTTAAGAAATAATACACAATAAAGCATGGAACACCTTCAGATGCACAAATACAATGAATACAAATTAGGACTGTACCAATGTATTGGCCAACACTGGCGGCGGCCGCCGGTGTTGTACTATCGGCACCATCGGCTCTCCTGCCTGCCTTGAAGGCCACTCCTGCCAGCGTCTCACAGGCAAAAATATCCGTCTGATTATGTTAGTCATATCATAGGAACCGGCGGAGGAAAGTAACAGTAAAGAACGGGGTATCATTGCATCTCCATTTACGTTGTGCTTTTGCAAGGGATATCACTAAATCCTCTCGACTACAGTAATGGGGGGGGGGGGGGGGGGGGGGGGGGGGGGGGGGGGGNTTCTCAGCGCAGCAGAGAGCACCTATGCAATACACATGCGTTTTCAAAGCATCCATTTCACAAAACCAAATGACTCGCACAAGTCGAGCCATTACCTTCCGAGTTTTCGCGGCGGTAGGTTACTCTCTCGCTCCCTTAACTATTCATTCCTCTTCATCGGCTTCCTATTGACGAAACAGAAGCACACTGACTTTCTTTTTTATTCCTTTGACTTTTCTGAGTATCAAAAAGGCCTTTCTCACCGCTGGATTCGTCTCCTTCAAACTTGGCTACAGTCGGCTTTTGCAATGGGAGAAAATCCGGCTGCGCGAAGGAGCATAGCTCCTAGACTAGCTACTCTCGTCCCCGCTTATGGACATACCTCCTCTCCTCCACGCGTTCTATACACTCCACGTACCTTGGTAGCAAGCTAATCGCGGACAGAAGCATTGAGAGACAGACGGGCAGGACAGGACCAAAAGTGACTTCTATCGCGTCAAGGAGGCCTACTGATAAATATCACATGGTTTTTCAATTAAGCCTATTTGAATTTACAGGAGATTTCAACTACAAGCCACCAGTGGCACCGGCACCCGCCCATGATTATGAGGAAAGAATCTGTCATCGGTCCATCGGCTAAATGTTGCCACCGGTACAGCCCTAATACAAATCAATTGCATTCATAGTAAAGGAAATTAATAATATCATAAATAATAGTGCACAAAATTGAATGTGAAGTGCCGATTTGCAGGAGGAGGACTGGCATCCGTGTTGCAGAAAGTCACCGTTCCCATAGTGGACAACGAAAGGTGCTCGAAGCTGATGAAAGGCTACTTTCGGATCAAAGACGGTCAATTCTGCGCCGGCATTCTCAAAGGAGGCAAAGATTCCTGTCAAGTGAGAGTCCCAGAACGTTCGCCGTTGCAAAATTGGTTGCGATCTTGCAGGGAGACAGCGGGGGACCGATGTTCGTGCGAGAGGGAGGCGCGTATCGGCAGGAATTCGCTGTGCCAGGCCCAATCTCCCCGGCGTCTACACGAGGGTCCGTCACTGTCTCCCTTGGATCACGGATGCGATCTCGGAATGAGCCTCTCTCGATCCGGGTCAATTCATGTCCAGGGGCCTCTGCCCCGCCTTCTTCAACGCCTCGGTCTGTCGTCAGAAACACGCACTCGCTGCGATAAAAGCATCCCTGTTTATAATAATAAAAATGACAAAAGTTCTTACGAATGCGTTATTGAAGGCCTTGAGCGCTTCCCGCTCGAACTGGAGTCTCTCCTTCTCGTAGAGACTCCCGACCGCCCCCTTCTTCTTCGTCTCCTGATCCTGCATCTCCAGCACCAACGAATGCAATCCCGGCATCTTACTCAGCGAGCCCGGCGCCCTCATCTTCGCCGCTTTATCCCTCAACCCGACCCCGTCCAAGACGTCCGCGTTCGGTCCCAACTGCGACCCCTCGTTCGGCACGTACGGCCTCTCCCAGTGCGTGATGTCGCTCCCGGCCGCCTCGTTCCCCGAGAATCGCCCGTCCCACACCGACAGGTCGATCGACGTCCCCTCGTGGGGCTTCAGCTTCCCCGCCTGTAATGCCTTTCGGTACACGGGGACGGGATCTCGACTTCCCTCCTTTGCCAGATCCACCAGGAATTCCAGGGGGATCGCCCCTTTGAATAGGGGCAACGAGTAGTTGCTCTGCGGTTACAGAATCGAATCGAATCGAATGTTTACATCGTGGCTCGATCTGGACTACCAGATGTCGACGCACCGACCTAATTTTCGCCTTATCGAAGGAAAATGAAAGTATTTTCTTTTCAAGTTGAAAAGAACTACCGGAACTTCCCTCCACAGCCTAAACTACAGAAGTTAGGGAAACATTTTAAATATATTTGACATCCTTGTTCAATTTTGAATCATTTCCATCCAATGTTGTTTTTTCCCTGTCATATGATGGTGAAAAACTTAAATTCAATGATCGCACCCATGCTATTACGTTTCGAGCTCATGATGCCAATGCTGAATTCGTTACCCGTTCATGGGTTTCGAAAAAGATTAAACGTTCAGCTTCTGCCTGATGAAGCCCTATTTTTCAAAGCCTTGATCACACGGCAATTGCTGAAAGGCTCAGGATGGCCTTTTTTGGGGGGGAAATGCGAAATGGCCAGGAAACTCTCCCGATCTGAATGTGGCTGAGAACATTGGGGTTATCCTTCAAGACGGAGTCGAGGCTCATGCACATGGAGGGCAAGCTGCATGGATTCTTCCGGGAAGCCTTGCGAAGCGACATCACCAGGGTGTTGAAGGACGTGGAAGATGACACCGAACACTTTAAGCGCCTCTTTTCATCTTACCCTGTTCGTATTAAAGTTCTCAGAGACAGAGCCAGGGTGCACACAAATTATGATAAGTACATGTTTAGATTCGAAAATGAATGATCTTTCTCATGATATACGAGTTTTTCTTCCTAGCTCTTATAGTTTGGGCTGTGGAGAGGGGGGGGGGGGCTATCTGTGTGCAACATCTGGTAGATTAAAAGAGTTTTGGAAAGCTAACAGTCATTCTCATAATAAATCAATGTGAAGTCTCATCAGCGATCAGTAACCAATGTAGTTCCTCCAACTGGAGTAAGTGACTGGCAGTTAGATCCATACGGTTGGTTCCTTACCTGAATGACGCAATTGGCGCCGAAGACCGGCACGGCGATCCATCCCATCGAGAGGTCCAATTTGATCTCGAAGCTCTTCCCCTCTCGATGCGAGACGGTGCCCGTCCCCGGCCCCGCCTTGGGCTTATACGACACCGGGATCCCATAGAGGCGCACGAGGAGGAGCGTCCCCTCGTCGTACGGAGGTCGAAGGGGACGGGCCTTGTCCAGCCACTTCGGGGCCCGCACGGGGCTCTTGAAGTCCAGACTCTGGGTGATGTATCGCGTCTCGTCGCCGCTCGCAGATAGGAAATTACGCAGTTCGTGAGGACCCAGGATGTGAACGAACGCTTGCGTGAAACGGTTGTCGTGATACACTGCATGTTTGAGAACAGAAAGGAAGCAGTTCGGTGAGATGCGCACAAACATGCGTTTTTATAGGGTGTTCGGCTAAAGGCGAAGTACTTGGCGTGTACTCGCTAGGGTCAATCGCATAGTTTATGTACCTACTCGCCAGTACTCGCTAGCGAGTGCTCGCCAAGTGTATCTTGGCCTTATGTCAGAAATATCTTGAATGTGCAGGAAACAATGCAAAAAGCCTTTTTTTCTTCTTTTTTTTTACTGAGAGTTTCAAAATCTCGTATCACATTGGGCATGAAGGAGCAAGTGGCAACTATGCTTTTCACATTGTCGTTGTGCCATTCATGTTAGCTGCATATCCTTAATTCTTTTTTTAATTATTTAAATATCGTATACCTAATTTGGAGATCCTGAGAGAGAGAGTGGTAGTGTGTGTGCGTGTGTATGTATGTGTAATTCAATCGTAAAACGAGAGCTTTTCTTGTTTTCATCAACTTCACCCTTTTCTTTTTGCAACTGAAGTCCTTCAATTCAAATCGCCAGGGCTTAGGCTCAAAACACATGAAAGCACCTTCTTGCTTCACCACCAAATTACTAATAAATAAAAAAACTTAAAGTAGCAGCGAAAAGAGAAAGAGCAAGGAACATACGAGCGAGACCGAAGGCCTGTTCCACCAAGACGTAAAGCCCCTTGGCCTGATCGTACTGAACGAACCGGTCGATGTCCATGTCCTGCGGCAGCCCGACCTGGTTCTGCTTCAGCTCCAGCCTCCCCAGCATCGCCTTCTGCAGCTCCTTCGGGTCCTGCGGCGCCTTCTCGATCGCCTTCACCGCCTTCTCCTTCACCGTCTGCTTCAGGTCCGGCTTCGACATGTAGTGGACGTAGAGGCGTTCCTCCGACTTGTTCGGGGAGGCCTCGGCGGAGTCGTAGTACATGGACTCGTATGTGGGGGCTGTCACGTAGTCCTGCCGATATCACGATCGTGTCACGACTACTATGGTTATGGAGGACGGCGTAAATATATGTGCAAGAAGCGTCTTAAATTGTAAAACAAATGAGCGAAATGCAAAAAAAATCACGAATGCAAGCACGAATGAAAGGCTTTGTGACAAATTTTTTAAGCGCGCATTAGAGTTCGGAAGCCTACCTGGCTATGAGGAAGGATTCGAACGAGAAGAGTGACACCCGGGATGTAAGGATTTTTATCGAGATCATCGACCGACAGATTCGTCATGAGTCCGGAATCCGGCGAGGGCAATCCGGCATGCAGCCGTCTCTGCATGCCCCCGACCAACAACAGGGGCTTCGCCGCCCTCGAGTTGAAGAACCCGACGAGGCACGACCCGACCACGACCGCCCGCTTCGTGTGGGTCTCGTACCTGAGGGGAATCGTCGGTTTGAGGGTGGGGAATCGTCGGTTTGGGGGTGGGGAATCGTCGTGGTGTGGATGTGGGTTGTTTGTTCTTACCCCCAGACTCGAAGCATGCAGGTGAGATCGGGGTTGATGATGACTCCGTCCAAATTCACGGGGACTTTGAACTTCAACTTGGGGCATCGATTGTTGGAATCCAGGTCGGGAAGGACCAAGATATCCGGCAGCTTTTCGTTCTCCCCGCCGATGTGCACGTTGAAGAACCGCCCCGTAACCTACGCATCACAATGGACTGCGTGAAAGACACGATACATTTAGTAAAAGTAGAGCGACTGAGCGCGAGCGAAAGACCTTGCAGAAGGCGATGTTATCGGGAAGGAACCGAACGCCGTCGATGTAGAGGTCGAAAGGCTTCGTGACGGCACTCGGCTCCGGCTTCGACTTCTCCCATTTAGACTTACTATACGGGACCCAAGGCACGATTTCGTCGGACGGAGGAGGCGTGGGGGGCTTGGGCGGGGGAGGAGGTGGAGGCGGCGGCTCCTCCTCCTCCGACTCCGAGTCCGGCGGTGGTTCCGGCAGGGGCAAGGGCTCCGCTTCTTCCTCGTCGGAGTCCAGGTTGATGTCGAAGGGGATGGGCGCCGGGACGGGGACGGGCATGGGACGCGGGGAAGGAGGCTTCGGAGTCGGAGGCTTGGGCGGGGCTACTGGTACCGGTTGGGGGGGAGGTGGCGGCGGTGGAGGCGCTACCTTCGGGGGGATGAAGTTCTTGTTTTCCGGTAACCCGACGAGACTCCCGCCTCCCCACAGGTGCTGGTATGCTCGTCTCACGTCCGTCGTGTACAGATTCGCCGGCTCCTCTAAAAATACCTAGAGCCGGGTTTCAAGCAACGAGGAGGCCTTTTGTTAGGAGAAGCTGAAAGAAATAGTCCTGCAATGTCTATAGCGGATCTCCGTCGATGAAGTCAGAAGAATTCGCGACCGCTGCTTTGATCGAGGTGATTTTTTTCAAACTTCTGCCACTTCTACTCGGAGCGCCTTCGAGCAAATGACGGTAACACGCGACTTTCATTTAAGTGAAACAGATAGAGGCGTTCCAGGGCTAAATATGTATTCTCCTATTGCAAGAAGGTCTGGAGGGCAAAAATAGGGTTTTAGCTATGCTGTCAGATGTTATCAAAGTTCTCAGCACATCCCGGCAACCTGTCACACTAATCAATCAGTACGTAATCCAATAAAGGGATTGTTTTTTAGTCATAAGTCCGGTAAGTTGAGAGGATGAGATAGGGAATAAGACGAAAAAAGAGAAAAGTGTGAAAGACAAAAAAAAAAGGGGTCAAAGCTCCTAAAATTGTTTTCGTCCAACCTACACCGATGGTTCAAGTAAGACCGACAAGAGCGCCTACTTTTCGGACTCCGCTGTATCCAGTGGCTCGGAGCATCCAGGGCTTGATGAGCCCCAAGATGGCCAAGGCAACGGTGACGATAGCCTTGGGACCCCATTCCCTTAGGAAGAGCTGATCCCAGGTGAGGAGGATGGCGTTGGAGCCGAGGACGTCCACGAATCCCTCCCAGATCCACTTGCGGATGAAGAGGGCCGGGTCGGTGAATAGGTCCAGCTGGGATTCGGGGACTTCGTCGGATGCGAGAAGCCTCTCGTGCAGTTTTTCGCTCTTTCCCGTGTCCTTCAGCAGCATCTCGGGTGGGAAATCCTGTCGGGAGCGGCCGATGTCTCGCATCTCCGACTGTGGTTCCATTACGAAGAAATTGGGATTTTTGGGAGACTTACCTTTACGTTGGGTTTCACCTTGTTCTGCTGGGTGGTATTGAGGTGCCTCAGGTAATCGTGATCCTGTTCCGACAGGGCTTCGATCACCTTATCCGCCAGATTAAACACTTCTCTCGGTTTGGGTTTCACATGCTTGTCCACGAGATCCAGATATACAGCCAGCTTCAGCATGTCGTCGTCTGCAGCTCATCGGAGAAAAAGCTCATAATCCTCATCTCAGATCAAGTGGAAACCTGAAGCAAGAAGAACTAACCGTTTTGTTCCTCCAGGTATTTCCCATACGTCCTTTGAAGAGGACAGAGCCAAAACGCCAGGTACGTGGGGGAGCGGCCATTGAGAACGTGGAAAATATTCATGACCCGAGAGGTCTGAATCATGTGCTCGTCGTCGTCCAGGTTCTTCAAGCCCGGGGACCGCTCGTACACCTGCAGAGGGAACAGGACGCGTCTTCAGAGGGTCAGAGGCGAAAGACGCTCGAGGGAATGGAACGGCGGGACCTCGATGACTTTCTTGTCGATCTCCCTCCAGTCGGGGCTCCGGGTGGCGCGGCCGATCTGCAACGATTTCACCTTCTCTCGCAGGGGCTTTCTGTAGGTCTCCTTCAGCTGCGTCTCCAGCTCTTCCAGGGTGCCTCGCAGGTTCCCCTTGTGCTCTTGGGAGATCAAGCATTCCAGCCACAATACCTGCCTCATCGGGTTCGGCAGGAGCTGGACCTTCTCCTTGAACCTTCGAGGCCGGAGAGGAAAGTCCTGGAACTCGAAGGCTGGCAATAAAAAAAACGCGAATCGAGGGCGAGGAATCCTCACTGTTTGAATATGGGATCTTTCTGCGAGGGGTCGGCCTTCATCAAGGTCACGATGGTGTTGCCGATGACCTCGGATTGCTGGACGTAGAATGGATCTTCTGGGTTCACCAGACGACCTCGACCTGATGTCGGAGCACTTCTCTTCTTTCTCTGAACAACCCATAAAATACATTCATATAATATAAAATTAAATGACATAATTATGTATCATACAAAATTAGCGATATTACATATATCCGTATAATATATTATCATTTTGATAATATAAATAATTATTTATTCTATTGATATACGAGTACTGTCATATCAGAATTTCAAGTAATATTCAATTTTCCTCAGGGTTTGCTGACCTGAAACACTTCCATTTCCTTCTGGACGTGTTCCTCCATCCCGTTGCGGAACACTTGCCGGACCTGATGGACGAATTCGCCGAGGTCATCGTCTCCTTCGTAGTTGGCGATGTCCTCGGGGTATCCGCATTCCTTCCAGGATTCCTTGACTTCTTTTTCCAGGTATTCCTGCATCTGGGTCATGTATCGTTCCCGGTCCTTGGCCGTCATCTTCGGCGGCTCCTGCGTTTTCGACGGTGTCACGTCTCTTATCGATTTTATTTCTTATGCTTTTAGGGTTCGGGTGGAATCGATGGGGGGTACCAGGACGGAAGGGTCGTAGTTCATGTGCGGGAAATGCTGCAAGGCGAAGTCCTTGCCGAGGAGCAGGAACAAGGCCTGTTGCTTTGGGATGGACTCCATCTGGCCTCGAATCCGTCTCACCAACACGGAGTTCACTTTCTCCAATATCTTTTTTTTTTAATGGAATAATAATAATATTATATTAGTGAAGATGGGCGGGGGTAGGTGCTCGAAGCGATTTCGGATAATACCAAGAGTATTCAAGGTTGAATTTGAGTGTTTGAAAAAATATTTTAGCATTTGATCCTCCAGAGAGGAAGACATTAAAATTGAACATTGAATATTCCAGCATAAACTTAACTGAATAATAAATTTTTTTCAATTCCACGATTCTTCGAGAATAATCCATTCGAAAATGGGAAAGCGGGGAGAGAGCAGTGATGCCGCATCCCAGCATTCTGCTTCAAGCAAACATTCCCAGTGATGCCGAAGATCCAGTTAATAAAAGTAAAAATGAAAGGGGGAGGGGGGAAGGAAAGAACTAGCAAACCCAATGTCGTAGTGGATCTTCCACTGAAATAAAGTGGACCCCTATTCCATCTCCGATCTCTAGATCATCTAGAATGCTAGTGCTGTTCAGCCCTAAAGACTGTCTTCATTTTATATTATTGAACTGATGTGATTTAAAAATTCGGTTCACAGATATCATACTCCGGCGTGGAAAAAATGGACTGGGCTGCAGTACGTGGTGCTGTCCGAGGATGTCATGCACCCGTCCACCAACTTTTCTGTCACGTCCTTAATTTTAATCATAAAAATCCGTTTCTCGATCATCGATTGAACCGAATATTTCCGGCATAAAATCTGAAATCCCCTCTCGGCTCGATGCCGACTGAGACGATGAAAAATTTGCGATACGAATTTGACCCATCGCGTGATGGATATGGTCGTTGGACAAGAGACACGGAGAGATGAAAAATGTTCCCCCTTTCAGGAAGTGAGGTTCAGTAAAAAAAAAAAAAAAAAAATTATTCATCGGCACGATAAGATTGCAGGTGCATCGAGTTACGCCATTATTCAACGCCGCTGTTGAATAAAGGCATACAGGGAGTATTACTTACTATTATTATTTATAATTATTATTAGAGAAATCGACGTGATCTCTCAATCTTGATCTGGCACTCGTGGGGGAATATAACCTACTGCGTTTCCATACTCCATCAATGATCCATATTTAAGATCCTCAAAGTATTTGAATACATATGTAAGAACAGTAGTAGTTATTGATGTACGCACGATATTGAGTATCAAGAATTTCAATAATTCAGAGGTAAAAATAGTTCTTATCCAACCTGGGCGAAGACCAGAGAGAAAAAAGCAGCTTCGGTTACCTTCTCGCATCGAGGATTGGGAAAGGAGACCTGCGAGAAGCAACGATTCATCCAAGGTTCCTGGAATTGTTTCGTCTGTCTCTCTCGCTCCGCGTCCACGGGGCTCTTCAGTTTGGCCGAGGATACTTGGACCATCTTGCGGGTCGGAGGTGGAGCGAAGGGAAGGGAGGATCGGTGGGCGGATGAAGCGGTGGTCGATGAGTGACCGAGGAGGTCGATGTTTGACCTTGTACACAGGGAGTCGCCCGGGGAGACCAGCGACGCGAACGACGCATGCAAGGAAGTGAGTTCCTTGTGGAGGTCTCTCCCGTTCCGATGCTCTTGAAATTATGCGCAAGTTTTCTCTGGGTTCTCGCTTTGGCGATCTGCTCTTGGGGAAATCGATGCAGCTCGATCATTCGCAACTGCATGGTACTTTCGGCTTCCTGTCAGCAATGCGTGATGTGTGACAGACTTGCCACAAACACGTCATGCTCGAGAGCTTGAATGTGCAAACGCGGCACAAGTATGGATCACAGCAGATATCACATCGTTCTTTCTCCATGGTCGCTGTTGGGACACTATGCGAGGGGTGCACGTGTTTCTCTCGTGGCTTATCTTGACAAAACTTGGCATTTCGGATTCTCATGGCTGTTAATGTCGGAATGTTGAGTCGTAAACTCGGAACTCTGGGAATTTCTTCACACCTTTTAGGCAAGTTTCTGGTTCGTGCTATCACGTTCATTCATCAGGATGGCAATAATGTCGCACAAGCAGAAGTAACTTGAGGCCGCAATGAAAAATACCTATAATCCAAGGAATTTATCACATTGGTAAGCGTGAGCGTCGAAAAGAGAATCGAATAAATAAATAAATTTTTTAAACCGTCGAGTCGAAGGCGAGACCTCGTTGAAAATGCCAAATTTGTTAGAAAAAAATAATGAAAAATAAAGCGTAATTTATTAATTCAAGACAGCGAAGGGACTGAAAAAGCCCTGAAAAGAGAAGCATGCAATAGTGATTGGTTATTACTTCTAATGATATTTTATCAATATTCTTAAGAAAAGTGAATGTCATCCTGCACATCCATCTGATACTACAATTCTGACCCGTGCATATTGGAGTCAGTTGTGCATAAATAAAATAACACACAAATAAGTGTTTTTTTTTTTCTTCAAAGTCGCAGGCAGAAGTTCTCCTCTTAGTCAAAGGGGAGGGGGATCTTCTGTCATGGGTTTACTCCGCCTTTACCTGGGCTCAAATACGAACCTTGAAAGTTCAAGGGGATTGTGAGGTTTCTTTGCTAATGTTTTTTTTTTTTTTGGGGGGGGGGGGGGGGTGGAGGAACGTTAAAGATTATCCAATTTAATCACACAGCTGTTGCGTTGCAATAAAATACAACTATAATACTTTCGCATGCTATTACTATTCACTCAGTCAGAAATAAATTTCGGGGGGGGGGGGGGCAGTAGAGGTACGATAAAGAATTCTTCAGCAGTTCTCGTCCTTCTTTACTGTAGCAAAGGCCCAGGGATTGCATTTTCCCTCACAAAAACCATTTGCAATACAAAAAGCCAAATTAACCAAATTCAAATAACGAAATGTAACCCTTTAAGTGGGGTATTTCTCGGACAGAATTCTACTACTACTGTCATCAATTATTTTCGTGAGAGTAACAATTGGCGTATAATAAATTTACAACTCTTTCTAGAGTTTATATTCCTTTTCCGAGTTTCGAATTTATATCCAAGTCAGACTCAAAATTAACGCGACGGGAAAAAATGCCAAACCCCGAGGAGCGTTTCACCATGACGAATGTACAGATCCAAAAGTTTCCGATCTGAGGCAGGAGGAATGATCGGAGAAAGTTAAATTCCCATATTCCTTCATCGTTTTTGGTAATTTCAAGAGTCAGCAATTGGTTTTAGGTGCATTTATATTTTTCATAATAATTTGTATATATATGTTCCAGCAAAAAATGTATTTATTTCAAAATGGAAAAATTGGAATACGGAGCAGTTTTTCTAGTTTTATTATTAATTTAAATATTCATCTGATATGAATTCATTAATTCTAATAAGACAGCTCATTCAATAAAATACAGGGTGTCTAAAAAAAAGTTAACGCTGCAAGAATTTATTTTTCTTGTGTCATATTACATTTGATTGAAAATTGTTGTATTGTACTGGTTAGCTTTCCAATGCTGAAGATTGTACGAAGATCAATGAACTCAGAAGTGAGATACGGAAAGATAAAGTTTACCTTATGAAAATTCCGACATGCTGATGAACCACTGCAAAAAACCTAAGCAAGAGAATCCGGCAAGGGAAGCACTCGGAGCTAGTGAGCAACAAGTGTACTGCCGTGTTTCTTGGGCATTTGTCAGCAAAAATGCCACAGAATTCATTGAATGAAAAAATCTTCTTGGCGACCCATCTCTTAATATCTAAAACCAGAGCAGGAACAAGTCAGTCAGCAGCAGAAAATCTTGCTAGCCAAGCGTCTGATGGCGTGTTGGCGTCGAAGAGCACGCCTTGAACGTGTCCTTTAATAATGGTGTGTACATTTTTTAAAGTCTAATTTTCACTTTTCAATATCTTGCTTCAGAAAGAGTCTATTTTCATTTTCAGCAGATGAAAGCTTAATATCTTTTCTTTCTAACTAATGCAACATTTCAGAAATCCTATTCAACATACCAGAAAGTTATTATAGCGTTAACTTTTTGAGACACCCTGCATTTTTAAAGCATACCTTCCTGTGAAGCGGCCATAAAAGTGAAACGGGCAATGGTGTCAATTCAGTGAAGCTGTTCAAGCATATTTAGTTGACTATGGAAAATTAAAATTTTTCCAATAAAATTGAATCCTTGTTCCATCGATTGGACATAATGCTGAAAAATAAAATTTGTTTCAACAGTCACACTCCAATATCTCAGGGCAGAAGCTTTTGGATCACCCCTACGTCATACCCACTTAAGCAGTTAAAATCTCATACTTAATGGAGCAGTGATAGAGAAAACTCAAGTTTTCCACAGTTTACTTTGCCTCCAAGACGTAAGCTGCAAATACAGTAAACACTGTCATGAACAATGAGATAAAAATTGTCTACCAAGGATTAGTGAAAAGAAGTCAACCCTTTTATGTGCAATATGAAGCACTTTATTCATCCATAATTGACAACGTCTAACAAGCAAGTGATCGATTTCAGGTTAATGTAATGCTCTCATGAAATCAATCTGGGTGCTAACACAGTGCAAGATACAGGAAAATAAATGCAAGTACATAGGAATTTATTTTGGTCCCAACATGTCTTCTGGTCGGACCCACTTATCAAATTGTTCCTCTGTCAGGTACCCCAAAGCAAGTGCAGTCTCCTTCAGAGTTGTGCCCTGTTTGTGGGCTGTCTTGGCGATCTTGGCAGCTTTGTCGTATCCAATGTGAGGATTTAGGGCAGTGACCAGCATGAGACTGTTTGCAACCAGTGTCTTGATTCGATCCTTGTTAGCCTCAATCCCAACGACACAGTTCTTAGTAAACGCCTTGGAACTATCTCCAATCAGACGAATAGATCTGCAAGCATCAAACAGGAGGGATCAGAATAAAAGGGAGCATAGCTGATGAGTTATTAGCATAAAATTACTGGTAAATAAAATAAACATCTAAATATAAGCCAGGTCAAAAACAAGTGTCTTCAAAATTTCACTACCATGGATCTAGTATACTTGAAGCACAGCAAGTTTTCATGTTACCCTTGGTAGCAATTGCGTTAATGAGTCTGACCTGAGGACATTGGAGACAATGAGTGGCTTGAAGACATTCAGTTCAAAATGTCCATTGCTTCCACCAACAGTGACAGCAACATGATTTCCCATGACCTGAGCAGCAACCATAGTGATGGCTTCACACTGTGTAGGATTTACCTTTCCAGGCATGATACTGCTGCCAGGTTCATTTTCAGGCAGTGAGAGCTCCCCGAGTCCCGACCGAGGACCTGAGCCTAGGAGCCGAATGTCATTTGCAATCTTCATCATTGAACATGCAATGACATTCAAAGCTCCAGACACTTCAACCATTGCATCATGGGATGCCAGAGCTTCAAATTTATTTGGAGCTGACTGGAAGGGAAGTCCAGTCAGCTCTGAAATCTTGGCTGAGACTTTTTCAGCAAATCCAATTCTTGTGTTCAATCCTGTGCCAACAGCAGTTCCACCTGAAGAGACAAAAAGCAGGAGTGGGCTTCACAATCTGGTAAGGAGATATTCCATAAGCTTTTACGAGAACTTACCGATTGCCAAATAATAGAGGCGAGGGAGTGTGGCTTTGATTCGTTCAATCCCAAACTCAACCTGCTGGGCATAACCACTGAATTCTTGCCCCAAGGTCAGAGGTGTGGCATCCTAAAAACGAGACTGAGAAACAGTTGCGAGCTTCCAGCTGCTACCTATGCTTAACTTCTTAATGAATACTTCAGCCCATGAACTCTGTTTTGTCTCACCTGTAAGTGGGTTCGACCAATCTTGATGATGTCAGCAAATTCCTTTGATTTGTCACACAGTGCTTTATGGAGAGCTTCTAGGCCAGGGAGAAGAGCTGAATGAATTTCCATTGCGACAGCCACATGCATAGCAGTGGGGAAGGTGTCATTTGAGCTCTGAAATAGGGAAGGAAGTGATAAATTTACCAAAAGCCACACTAATATTTTTCTCATTTATGATTCACATTTTTTCCAATGACTCCAATATCAATGCATGAGAAGGACCACACCCATGGTGCTTTTATTTTAGGCTGGTGGTTGAGATTCAGGTTTCATGGTTGGTCTCAGTTACTGTCCTGATAAGCAAAAAAAAAGGAAATTGACAACAGGATTAGAAATTGGTCAAGTCTCAGGAATAGAGGGAAAGCATCAATTAGCAGATTGGGAACAGGGTAAGTAATCTATATGGCTGCCTAAGTTCAAGGTTCATGACTCTCTGGAGGTAGAATCAGAAGAAACTCTTGCATGCAGCCTGATTTCTGGTAGCACTCCCAAAATGGATTATGGTATGCTCCTTGTGTATCCTTCTCTGCCTCTTAAAGCTCCCCTGGGTATCCCCAGCAAGAGAGAGAGAGAGAGAGAACCTGTCTTCTGTCCCCAAAATGGTCAATTTGTAGTAAATAAAGGGTTATTTAGTCCTGTGCTCAGAAATTAGTATGTGACTCAAGAAAGAAATATTAGTTGGATTTTTGTTTAAAAAATCCATCAAATCGAAGTAAACATGCAGACAATATTAACAAAAACTGACCTGACTCTTATTGACATGGTCATTTGGGTGGATGGGCTTCTTGCTCCCCAATTCTCCTCCCAACATTTGGATTGCCCTGTTACTGATCACCTCATTCACATTCATATTGCTCTGGGTTCCAGATCCAGTTTGCCAGATCACTAGTGGAAAGTGCTCTTCATACAGACTCCCATCTATCAGCTTCCAAAGAAAAAAAGCCACACATCAGAGCAGATCCCTTGCATTCAGCATTCTGGAGCCAGCTGCAACACAGAATCATGGGTTTGGAGTAAATGAAGGCAAAGCCTGTTGTAACCATCAAGGATTCCCAGAGAAATTCTGCTTGTCATGGTAGTTGGAATAGCCCTAAAGATTCAACATCTTCCTTGTTTCCTTCAGATAACTGTATACTCATTGCCCCCAATAAAGCAAAACTATGATAAGCAGGGTTCACATTAACTCACTATAGTGAGTCCCTGACTCCTATTTGCAAAACATATAAGTCCATGGGACTCATTGATAACCACCTGAACATGTTTCCACTGAGTTGAAGCAAGGTGCCAGGACTCAAGATTTAAAAAAGCTAGTGTGAACCCTGTGAAGTTGAAGGACCTCAATGAAATTCAGTCCACAAGCACATAGCGGTGCTGTCATAATATTGATTACAGCTTCATGAGCATAGGATGTGGTGACAGAGCAAAAACTTCAACCAACCAAGGAGAAGAGGATGGTGTCACTGATAGCACCATCTTCCTTTTTCCCTCAAGCCCCTTCACTACTTGCACTATTGTTTACACTTGACTACAATGCCATGCTGAGATGAAGTTTTTGCAGGCACTTTCACCAACTTTGTTAAGCATTTGATCCAGGCTATCTTGGATGCATGTTAAGCATTTTCAATTAACAATACCTTGACACAAAGTTGTACCAAGGTTTCTCAACTCCTTGATATTGCTTTTTTGGCAGTAAGTGTTGCAGAAAAAATCGTTGCAAAACATAGCTCAGCATGTGGGATGAGCAATCTTTGCAGATTGCCATGATCAATAAGAGATTAAAATGTGCAAACAGGGAAGGGCACTGTAGCTCAAAAGTTTACAATTATGCAATTGCGTTTAAAACTAATAATTACTGCAACTGAGAAACTTTTTTTTGCCAATATTCAGTTTCAATTTGAAATCTAGTTGAATGGATTAACAATGAAATGAAATGATAATTCAATCAAAAGAAATGCCTCATTTGAAAAATTCCCAACTCATCACAAGGATGGCAGAACTGGTATACTTTTCAAGAAAAATCTATTATTGCTTCCTTGGATCCCTTGGCTTGTAGGACTAGAGGTCTAGGACATGGATCCCAAGGTTTCCTGCAGTCCTACAAAAGTGGAGATGAATTAACCAACTACACCAATCCTGAATTTTATGGAAAATTAAGACTTAGCCCACCTGACTTCATATGACCTATTTCAGCTGAATCCAAATCATCCAAGCTGGAAAACAGAGACAGTTTTTTATTGCAATTTTTACCTGAGGTGGACAAGGATAGTTTCTTGAGATTCATATTCAGTCTGCTTCCTAAAAAGTCCACTACAGATGGGATAATTTGCAGATTGCTGGGATACTTTACAAAGTGATATTCTATCCAAATATATCTCCATGATTTGAAGCAATCTCTAAAGACCCACTACAGCAAATGCTCAACTAGGTCATGATATCTGATATGAACAATGGCCCATCAGCAGATCAACTAGAAAAATTAAGAACTGACTTGAACATGGAACCCATGACAGATTATTAGGTTCCCTTGGATAAGTAGATCTTGGACTTAATGAATCAGCTCCCAATTCATCCATGCTCAGATTCACGAAGAGAAAAAGAACAGATTCTCAGTTCTTACCTCATCAGCTGCTTTGCTTATAGTGTCTGCTAGCTTTGGATCCAGTCCATATTGTTTATTCACTTCTGCAGCTGCCTTCTTCAATATACCAAATGCTTTTATCACAGGGAGCTGCAACAAAAAAGTTCATTAACTGATGCAGTATGCATAGCCATGTAACTGTCATGGAAACTTGTATCACCATCAATGATTCCAAGAAACTCAGCAACACTTACAGGCATTCTCTCTGTAGGGCCTCCAATTGGAAAATTCATGACGGACCTGACAGTCTGAGCACCATATAACTTATCTGCTGGAACCTGTAGTTCTCCAAATGTATCATATTCAATACGGTGGTTCTGCGAAAAAGAACACAGCAGTCTTCAATAAATAGTCCACACCAGCTTCAAGAACAAGCTGACCTCATATAGGCCTATCTATTAGCCATGACCATATATCAATAAAGGCCACTTCTCTCAGCTCAATGAGGGATGACAGCCTTGGCTGCATTTTTAGGTATTTTTTTTAAGTATATGCCACTGACCAAAAACAAGATCCAAGAGGTATCCTCTACTGTGACACATATAGGAGTCAATTTAGCTGAAATCTCACACTCTTGTCAATTACATCATCTTTAATTTCCATGCCTCCAGAGACATCTGTTTTGGAATTAATATGCTTGACCTATCAGATCATCACGCTGAATTAATTAACTTTGCACATAGCAAAATCAAAATGATAATATCCCATGTGCTTGACTAATGACATCCCTTTTACCTCATGCATAGATATAAATTTCCTCATTCCTTTTTGATATTGACATTTACTGGGAAAGATAAGTTATTATCATGCATTCTTTGTACAATCCAGACTTTCAAAGTGTCCAAGAAAATAAATACTGTCCCAATGAAGAACGTGGGTGACTTGAGATTAGATAGCTCTCCATATGAAAGTACACATCAAAGCACTTCACACCAAACTTCAGGCCAGAACAGAATGCAGAACAACACACTTGGCTCACAATGACTGCAAATGTGTTCCGAGACCTCTAGCACAGGAAGTAAAAGAGCAAGAGAATCTAAACTTTACAAACAAGTTAACTGGAAATTTCACTTAGACACTGATAGCCTTGGATATGAACTATGATTCAAGTCTTTTCTGAAATAATCATCAAAAAGCCAGTGTCCTGTAGGTAGTACTCCTCACAGAATTGGCATTGGGTTCTCTTCTTTAGGCAGTATGAATTCTAAAATGAAAATGGTGCTGTATGTGCCACCTTGACATATCTTGAAAACATATCTTGCACCCCGAATGCTGCCTGAATCATGTGCTAATATCAATGACAAGGAAATTGCTGTAAAGGTTTATTGTGTTTGAGGTCAGGGGTATTGCCATGAATTGGTATCAGTTTCACCAAAGCAGTAGACAAACATAAGTCTCCATAACTGATCCTAATGGCATATTTGGCTAAGATCTGTTCATATGACATAAATGCTAGTGTAATAGGATTTTTTTTCTTCAAGAAATTCATGATCTTGCAAAATGCCATGTGCAAGGTGATCATGCATGTCCTGTCCCTGCTTCCATGCAAATGACGTAAATTCAGATGTATATATGAATGACCTCCAGAATTTGTGACTAATTTACCATCCAACCAAGGTTATAAGACTAACTTTTGTTATGAAAAAAGAATTCCTGACATCCATATTGATACATATAATGTAGGAAATTATTAGCGTTTTTCACTTGAGTTCGACACTCATGCATGAGGATCGTCCCATGCGAATGTCAGAATCAAGTGAAAAACACTATTAAAAATCTAACTCATGTCGCATTTGATCATTCTTGTTCCAAATTAAATATTGGCCTTACGAAGGTTAATGCGAACTCAAGATGCTGAAAATAACTTCACACTTCGGCCGATGATACTCAGTGAATTCCTGGACTAAACCAAGACCCACCTTTCCACTCTGGGACGACATACTTCTCGATAGATGCAAACTTGGCTCCAACCACTTGACCCTGGATAGGGCCGATTCAAACCTTATATTTGAACAGATGCATTTCCTGCCCACACGGCAGACACACAGGCGTTGCAGGGAGACGAGACTCATGCTTCACAAGAGACGCGCCACAGGGCAGACCTTCTATACTTCGACCTTCAACTTCTCTTGGTTGGCTATAAATTACTAGTTAGGAGCTCCGTGACTGTACCGGCTCACTCGACAGCACCACAGACGAGAGATGCCCTTGAAGGTGGCAGGGCGAACTGGTGGAGGAAAGCAGATGACGATTGCGCAGATGCGAGTCTGCCTGTTGGGATATACCACGCCTCTTTCGTTCGCACAATAACCCAACGCTAAACCAAAAGGGTGCGAACGCAATTTGGAGTACGATGTGAATCCGAAAACACGGTCAAATCAATCTCTAGTGTTTCTTCACTCGAGTTTGAGTGTTTCATCTAGGCCCTAAGCCTAGTTGATAATCGCAACTTCGTAACGAAGTGAAAATTAGTAGTTGAGCTCATGCCTTAAGCTTTTTATTAAACTGAAAAATCGCTAAAAGATTCCGTCAGGACTGGGCTGGAAAGTGGAGAGGCATTTGTGCTCATACCGAGATCCCCACATCGAGCTCGAACGCTCCTCCTATCCTTCCTGTTTGACAGACATGTCCCTCAGACGATGTTATCGTTTGGGAACTTAGGGACACGGACTTTCTCATCTCCCCTCCCCTAGCGGCTCTCCCAATCAGGGCAGATTCAGGTCAGAGTGACTTGTCAACAGGAGCAGGCAAGGTCGGGATCCGTTATCCTCTCACTCGACCAAACAAGTAACGGCACAGGCTTCTATTTCCCTACATGGCTGCCCCCTTCGCGGCGTTTATTATTATTGTCATCATCTTTATAATCCTCATCGATGACGCAGATGATGATCGCTTTAGGAAGGGTTCTTTTTCTTTGTGAAGTGTGAAGGCCTATGAGCCTAACGTTAGGTGATAAAAGCTACTTTACCCATGACCGAGGCCAAGGAAGGGGGAGAAATCCCAGAGGTCTCCAGAGACAAAGAGGAGGAAGGGGAAATTAATGCTAACTCAGATGAAGTCTCCCGGGCACAAAATGCCAAGGCTGAAGAAAGGATCAAATTCCTCCAGTTTCTTCAGTGCATGGATGGTGAGTTTCTAGGATTGGTTCTCCAACTGAGAACAAGGCCTAAATGTTATGTGATTTGTTGCATTCTTCACTGCATGTATTTCTGTGCAGGAAGGAAGGCTGTGTTCACAATGCATGAGAACACCCAGGTAAGGGGAATCTTCAGGGCGGCCAATTTCATCCCTGATGAGATCATGGTGAATCAGCTTGAAACTCCAACAGGTGTCTTCAAAAGTGCTGTGTTACGGATGAAGGATATCATCTGCATCGCCTTTGAACCAATTGATTTAGGCTCAGGGCCTAGTGGTGGTGCTTCCACTTCAGAAGCAGGATCTCAGTGAAGCAGTACAAGGCAACTTTATTTAAGTGTTATATTTTTCATTGTGACATTGGACAGCTACAAATGAGGTTCACTGCCAGTCCATCCACTGAAAAAAAGAAATAGAAAAAAATAATTTCATGGTTGCATGAATGTTTTTCTCATGTGCCATATTAACTTGAAGTTGAAGTCAGTATTTGTTCAACTAGGAACTTTAAGCTTTTCTGTCAGCTTTTCAATAAATAAACTATGTGCATTTGCTATAAAGATCTGGCTGTAAATTTATTTCTTAACATGAATCTTGAATGTGGATTACTAGGTTGAGGAAAAAGTTTGTGCGCCGTATTAAAATAATGATTTTTTATATTTTTTTGCGTTTTTGATCTGGTTTCGTGGCTATTATGAAATTTTATTGATTTTTTAAGATGTCTGATTACGAAATCACAAATGTTGAGCTTCGCGTATTGCTGCGTCATTATTGGAGAAAGAATTTGGATGCACGAGCAGCTGCCAAAGCAATTTGCGACGTTGAAGGTGAAGGTACGGTGGCACCACGAACTGCACAGAAATGGTTCAAGCGTTTCAATGAAGGCGATTTGAATCTTGAAGACAGGCCACGTTCCAGACGACCAACGGTTCTGGACGAAGGAGACTTGCAAGCCGCTTTGGATGTTGAGCCGTCATCGAGCACACGCGAATTGGCTGAAGAATTTGGTGTCGATCAGAAGACAGTTAGGAATCATCTCAAGCAACTTGACTTCGTCCACAAAAAGCCACGACAAGATCCACACGAGTTGACCGAAGCGCAAGCCGCCAAACGAGTCTAAATTTGCCGCCAATTGCTCAACAATCCGTTGGATGACCGTTTTTGGGAGCGAATTGTGACATCAGACGAGAAGTGGGTCTACCTGGTCAATCACGATCGAAGCAAGCGTTGGGTCCCAAAAGGTCAAACTCCTCCATCCGTTCCAAAGCAAAATCAATTTGGAAAGAAGATCATGATTTGCGTTTGGTGGAACTTCGAAGGAATCTTGCATTTTGAACTTGTGCCGAATGGTCGCGCCATCAACGCTGAACTTTACTGCGAGCAACTTGATCGAGTCTACGATGCGCTGGTTGAAAAGTACCCAAGTCTTGTTCGTCGAAAACGCGCTTTGTTTCAACAAGACAATGCAAAGCCGCATACCACCAGAAAGACCAGCAACAAGTTTGAAGAATTGGACGGTGTCGAAGTTCTGCCGCATCCAGCCTATAGTCCAGACGTTGCTCCATCTGACTACGGTCTCTTCCGATCAATGCAGCACTTTATGAAAGGTCGCTGATTTGAGTAATTCGATGAAGTTGAAGAAGCATGTCAAGAATTTTTCGATTCAAAGCCAAAGGAGTGGTACTTTGACCAAATCCGAAAGCTTGCAGATCGTTGGCAGAAGGTCGTGGACAATGATGGTCTTTATTTTGAAGAATAGTTGTTCTTTTTGAATAAATTCTTGCATAAAAAATCATTATTTTAACACGGCGCACAAACTTTTTTCTCAACCTAGTATTTTTTTTGGGTCTTAATGAGTCTTAACTCAGAATATGCTCTTTAACACTTTCACTAATGTTAGCATAGCATAGCATACTCACAGTGCTGATAAATGTAAATCTGAGTACTCATGGTAAGCACTGTCAAGTTCTCAAAGTGCTGTAAATGTAAGTCTGTTAGCACCACGTATAAACTGTGTCATGGTCTGAATCTTTCCTGTCTGTAGGATGATACTGGAAAGTATCAATACCGCTACCTCTTTGTCCAAATGGATGACTTTCCCAGAAGGACGTTTATCATTGAAGACAACAGGTGATACCTCATTGCTTTTTGAAAATTTTTGTTGTTTTTGATTGTGTACTCTTGTAATTTTGAACAACCTAAAAAAAATAATAGCTGACATTTGTTGATTGGTGTGTCTGTTCTTTGGAGGTCAACATGGGTCAGTGCTTTTTCTCCCAATCTGGAGCTCAATCACTGACAGCATTACAAGCCATAAAGTGGATTGCATCAAGCCAACTCACATCCCATGCCAAGCTCAAAACTACAGTACCTGAAGTCTCTGATATTGAAAGGCATCCTCAATTTTTCATTCCCCTAGGTGCTTCACATCCAAACAGTAAGACTCCACTGAATGGTTCTAGACAGAACTTGCTTGAAATTGCCACATAATCTACAGATCTTAGATTATTGAAATAATCTGCTATTATTCATCCAATACCTGGGTGTGTGAAATTGGAACAGTGTGCCTCACTTGAATACTACAGGATGGAACATTTTTATACAGGCAATTTGTATTTCCCTGATGACAGTCACATCCCCCATTACTGATCCAAAGCATGGCTCTGCCAAATTTTAAATAGTGTCACCTTAGAATGCTACAGGACAGAAATCACTGAAAACAAACAGTTTGTTTAAAGAGAAATTGCAGGAGGTATCTTCCATTCTCCATCTGATAACCAGGAGTTCCAGAAATGAGAGGGGGTGCAAAAGTAGAGGCAATTTGGCTATACAGTGGTGTACACATGTATTATAGCACAGAGATAGGGACAATGGTTCATGTGATAGAAAAGGTGTACCACACGTTACTTTTCCACATAGTCCAATATTATAAATAGTTATTCCAAAATTGCCACTACTTTTGTGCACCCCCCTCATATGTATGGCTTGTCTTGTTTGAATGCTATAGAACATAGCTGCCTTAAGACTGGTATTAAGGAAATTAATTTTTTTGGGGGGGGGAGAGGCAGCAGCAATGATGGGATGCACTGAATTCATCCAAAATAAGGGAAAAAAAAGTATTTTATTTCAGAAAAATGATGTGCAATAGTATCATATGAGCAGAAAGTGAGATCAAGTAACTGACTAGAGTGGGTAGAATGCAAAAGGCATCAGAGCACTTTCTGCCATGGTTTGGACATGGCTGTGTAGAAGAGATTCTGTGTGAACACAAAGCTCTTAACCCTGTTCAGTGCCATCAAGACAGGAATGAAGAGAGCCAAGTATTGGACCCATGCCCACTTCAAGGTTTCCCAGAACCCAGGGCTGTACTCAAATGATGCCTCCACATATCGTAAACTTACTGAAATTGTGAAAGTGAAAACATCTGAATCCATGTCCCAAGACTTGACAGTGCGATCCACCTCAGTGATCACTGTGGATTCAAGAGAAGGAAACAGCATTAAGATATAATGGATTCAGAGGGCTGGGAATCATCATTGCCATAAACTGAGTAAAGACTAGCTTGAATAGTTTATATCTCCTACTAGCCTGTGCAGACTATGTCCCCTCAAAATCACCCTCTTTTCCCAGTGGCTGCCAGTGACAGGGTCAAAGGAGTGCAGCAGCTTCGAAGTCTCAGTAAGGTCATAAGCATCTGACCTTGGTGTCACCCAGCCCCAGAGTGGCTGTCGGGTTGTCAGATGGCCAAGTCTTATTTTGATTATCTTTTTTACATTTTTGTGCATGAGCCCACAGTATGAAACTGTAGCATCCAATACAGGGTAGAGAAGTTCTGTTCACAGGCTCAAATTGGGGAATAACTTCCCACAGCTGCCACATGCTTAACAAGTGAGTGTTCTCAACTATTGGGAGGATGACTGTAGTCAACAACTCTAATCTCTGCTCATTTCTCCCCCTCACCAATATTTAGCTAAAGGCAGTCTTATGAACTGATGACTGCCCATGCTCCATTTAAGATCTCAATATAAATTACCACCACCCTTTGTAAATAAGATCAGGATGATTTTGAGGGGACATAAACCATATTTCTCCTTTTTTCATTATCTCAATTATGAAAATTACAGCTAAGAGTTCAGAAGTGATACCACACGAGTGCAGTACCAACTGTTCCCTACTTTTTTTTTCTTCATAATGTTCCTCTAAGACTACTTGGGAGTAATGAAGCAATAATGTAAGGGATTCAGTGTTGTGTGTGAAGAAAAATTAATATCCTATAAGGCATTTCATGATGCTTATTATCTTCCTTGGACCCAAAAACTGTTGACAAAGTACATGGAAAATCCAAACCGTTGTCCTCAGATGAAAAATCATTAGTTACAGTTTGGGAGACACGGAACAGTTAGGTGAGTGAAGTCAATTCAGTGCAAGTCCTAATCCATTGACTTGGAATTTTAAAAATGTCAAAATGCTTGGAGTTCCATGTGAGAGAATGGTGGAAGCCATGGGATCACATGAACAGTCAAGCACATCAACTTGTGTAAGTGGATATATGTGTCAGATGCAGGCAGAAACTTTTTATTGAAAGATCCTACACATGCTTATTTATGAAGCTCCTATATATGTGTTCCTCTATTATGCCAGAAAACCTTTGAATGCTTTGCAAGATTCTCAACAACTAATTGAACTTTTTCTAGGTGACATACAAGGCTTCATTGCATTTTTGCTGAAAAAAGCAGAACCTGCAGGACAGTGAAATTTTGCTTGCTTTAATAGGCAAGTTGTGAATCATTAATATACAGGGTTTGGCAGAAACATCTACCCACTTTCAAACTGCAAAAAGTGGGAGTATAAAAGCTTATTTATCAAAAATAAATATACAGATAGAATATGTTTGTTATGCCATTTATTATGGTATCTTAGTTCCTGAAGATCACGTCTTTCAGGTGGCGACCTTCACTTTCTAGGCACAGAAATGCCTGTCAGCCATAACCTGCCACAACATATCCTCAGGTATGGCTCTGATCTCAGCCTTGATGTTCATCTTCAGGTGAACATCAAACTATCCGCCATCTGTGGTGGGCAGTTCTGTGCCTAGAAAGTGAAGGTCGCCACCTGGAAGCTGTGATCTTCAGGAACTAAGATACCATATTAAATGGCATAACAAACATATTCTATCTGTATATTTATTTTTGATAAATGAGCTTCTTTACCTCCACTTTTTGCAGTTTGAAAGGGGGTAGATGTTTCTGCTGGACTCTGTACAAGGGGCATTCAAAAAGTTCTGGGCTCAAAGCACGAGGTGTAATACATAATTCTTGCTTTCTCATAGAAAGCAAGAATTTCTCATATGTCTTTGATGGGAACTGGCAAAATTGCACCTCATTTGTCGATGATGGGACAGCTTCCATGAATTTTTTTCAATGTGCAACTAAATGATAAGCCGAAGGGAAATTAAAATTGAGATGAGTTCTGTGATGAAACCTTGAAGGAGTTGACATTCTGGCTGATCTTTCTGCAGCTGTGAGGATAGTGTCCTACAGATCCTCCCCTAATTGACCAGCTAGGAGATAGACTCCTTCAAGTTTAGAAAATTCATCACAACAATCATCTCCATTTTAATACTCTTACAGCTGACCCTTTGGTTGCACATTTAAAAAAAAAACAAGAAGCTGTCTATCATTTACAAATGAGATGAAATTTTGCCAATCCTCATCAAATACATGTGTCTTCCCATGAGAAAAGTAATGATGGTGTATTAGAAGTGGAAGTGTTTCGGGCTGGAAAGTTTTTGAATGCCCTTCATATACCGGGTGTGACAGCCTACTTGGGACAAACTCATAAGCAAAATTTAAAATTTCCAAATTTTGTATTTGCTAAATTCTTGACTTCAAGGCTTGTATTGATTAAAGTTATATTAAGTGCAGTTTATTTAACACTATCAGCATGCACATATTTTCCACACACACTGTGCAAAAGTAAAAAACTGTAGCACTATTGCACTTTTTGTCAAAAGTGGAGTAAAGTTTATGCAAAGTCCAAGCTGCACTTGTTAAACTGAAACTGAAACATGCAAATGGTAGTGCAAATCATTGACTTTCAATGCCACTATTACTCTTTGCTGCTTCAACTGTATTGCTAGTTCCAACAGCAAAGCTTCATATGACTGTAACTGTGACGCATTGACAAGTCCGCAACACCTTGCGAGCCAAGCCTCTTGCTGTCCTGGAGTCACCAGCTGCCTCACAGGAAGTGCGTAGGACTTCAGGCCCAAATCACAAGTCGTACGCCTCAAAGTGATGTCAGACACGTCAAATTCTTTGGCCAGCTTCCTGAGACTCTTGCGCGGATTCTCAGCAACCGCTGCTGCCACTTCGGTCTTGAACTCTTTGGTTTGCTTCAGGTTGGGTGGCGCTCTTCCTTTTCTCCGAGTCTCTTGATCGTCTATGGCCTCCATGACGCGGTAAACAGTGGAGCGAGACACACTGAATGCCTCAGTGACGTCCTTGGCTGGCATTCCATTGTCTACTGCTCGCTTAATGCGCCACTTCACGTCCTCACTGAGATCTGGGCCAGGCATGTCAGAAAATCCCCAGGTGGCTTGCTAGGAATTACCTTCTGCCCGCAGAGTCATATTTAGGAGCAAAATTGAACAGTTCGGTCCATCCAAAGCTATGGGTATTTAGCCTTTAAATAGCAGGGTTATTTAGCGGAGTCCTAGGCCACTGTCTGTGACAATTTTCAAATACGAAAGCTCAAAATTTGTGGTGAAGAAAATGTCCCAAGTAGGCTGTCGCACCCGGTATGTGCAATGCATCACTGGATCATAAACATGTAGCTCAAAGCAGTTCACTATCATGATTGGATTTGGAAGTGTGTCTTTCAATATCTTGCTTTAGAATTGTCTGATTTTCTTTATACAGCATGTTTGGCAAAAGAAAGCTGAAGCTTTCCCCCTTTCAACACTATTTCATTTAAGTTTAGCATAATACATGACAAAGCAATTAATATTTTACTTTTTGAGACAACAATACTCACCTGCAATGCTTAGGACTGACATGCAAGGAAATATCAGAGTAAGATGCAAAATGTAAGCAAAAGACAATCTACCTGACTTCATCCTGTAGTTCAGATATCTAGACACTCAGCTACTACCTTGTCAGGGTCAATATCGAAACTATGAGAAAACTGAAAATTCAGCACTGGCAAGGTGCCCAGCTATTTAAAACTCAGTAGTTAAAGGGTTAATTAGTAGTCCTGTGCCACTGTGCACCAATTGGTAATGCTAGAATGACATTCTCATGGTTTTGCAACTTCAATGGCAGCCAGTTCATTTTCAACCTGCTCTATGGTACATGAGAGCAATTAATACAAAAATTGATCCTTAATTTTCCTAAGTTCAAGTATTTAGAGGCATTAGGTTCAAGGTCTCACACTACCTCAAGTGCTATATTTGACAATTGGCTATATTATAGGACTGGCAGGTTAAAAACACAGAATTTCATGAGAGTCAAAATGCTCCCTGCAGCAGTGAAGAAATCATTTGAAGTTAATTTTTGATGGTGCATAGATGTGGCAAGAGGATCAACAATTGAACAAATCAGCAACAAAATTTACACTATCATTAATCCAACTGAATGTGCAAGCAGTGAAAAAGTGCATTCTGAAGGAACACATCATGCTCATGATTTTCAAGTCAAGTCAACTAACCATTTTGGTGGGCATATTCCCAAAGAAGATCCTGTAGGGTGATGGAATGAGATCCAATTCCAAGCAGTTCGGACAAAGGAGGATCTTGGTGTCCTTTGTGCATAAGTGGCTGTTGTATTCGAGTCTCCAGGTTCCCTCTAATATGCAGATGAGTTCCTGGGAAACGACTCTCATGATGAATGTGTGCTAGGCACTCTGCTGCCAATTCCACCCTTTCCTATAGAATTACATGATGCAAACTGTTGAGAAAAAAAATTGCCTCTTTCTTTGGGAGGCTCTGAATAAAAATAATTACTCCACCTCAAGTCTGAAGTCAAAAAAGAGGATCAACTGTACTCCATGAATGACTTCACTCTTCTTAAGAGGCACAGTGACATTAACATGGATTTCTTCCTTCCTTCCATCTCTGTTGTGGTCTTCTTCAGAGACCTAGAAAAGCAGAGTCATCACAAGGATGAAATAAATTCTACAGTTTGTCCAGGACCATTTGCCTGATGACATTTCTCGCCTCTCAAAACCTGCCAAGCTTTTTTTTCTCTTTCAGACATTGAAAGGAGAAAAAAAGAGAATAAAGAATTACATATGAAACACAGTTGTACTGCATTAGTATGAGGGCATTTGATAGCATAAAAAAGATGACTGTTATCATTGCATTCCATGATGAGTTGATTCTACTAACTGTACAGGGTGGCCACAATGTCTTTTCACCCCTGCAGCAATTTCTTCAAATCCTCTTTTCTTTTTTCAAGTTAGTTGAACATGATCAATGAGTGATACAAGCAATTACACGATTGAACAATGTATTGTTGCCAGTGTCTACATTCATGAACTTTCATAAACAGGGAAGATCATGGAAGAAGTTTGTGACAATTTCCAGCAACAATTCAGTGGAACAAGAGAGGCCAGGAAGGCCACAATGTCTTGTTACCTATATTTATTACACATTTTTTTTTACATTTTTGAAGTACACATGTATTATGTATTTACTTTTATGTATTACACATGACACAAGTGTTAATTTTGTCCAGTGAATCAGTTTGTGCCCCATCATTCTCATGACAGAGAAAATTCTGTGCAACATTTCCCATTCCCATAAATTTCCCATTTGAACTCTGGTTGACAGCCTTCTTGTTCTTGACTTCTTATTTTTTGTTGCCTGTTGTGAAGAGCTTATGCTTGCCTTGCAAAAGAGTATTTTTTGAAGGAGCTTCTTGGTTGAATTATTGCTGGATATTGTCACTAACTTCTTCCATGGTATTCCCTGTTTGAGGACATTTGTGAACCCAGACACTGGCAACAATATGTTGTCCAATGGTGTAATTGCTTGCATCACTCAAGATTATATTATATTCAACTAACCTGAAAAAAAAAAAGAAGAGGATTTGTAGAAATTGCTGCAGGGGTGACAAAGACATTGTGGTCACCCTGTAGAATGAATACCCATCCACAGAGAAAACATTGTAAAGAAAAAGCAATGGATCAAAGATGGCAACTGAAAGGATATCTTCTTTGTTCTGCCTCCATCTACCCATTCTATGAGTATGATGATCAGCATTTGTATCAGAATTCTGGGGAGCAGAGAAATTCATAAAGTCACTGTGAATCAGAGGAACTCTGCAGAGCTTCTGAAGCACTTCCAGGAAATGATGGATTCTGCAATCAGTGATTTCATGTCACCAGTCTTTTTATTTTACACTTTACCTCCAGGTAATTTAAACTTTTACTTTATAGAAACTGGAGTTAAATAAAGCTCTCCAGCCCCCAATTAGCAAGGAATAATAAAATTACACCAATTGGTTATATGGATTTGGAAGGCTTAGCAAACATGTACAGGCTTTAAAAAAATTTTTTCTTGCAAATTCAACTAAATTTATTAATAATTACTATAAAATGAAAAAAATAAATAAAATTAAACAATTCCAAGGTTCTGCTAATGATCAAGTTCTTATTTTCTTTCACATGTTTCTTGGCATTTCCATACTACTTTCCATAGCTTAAAATTTCAAAAACTTAGAAAAAAGAATTTCTAAGAATTTTTAAATTTGTCAAAAACCTCAAAGTTGCCTCTCTTTGACCTGCTCTAGATACACATAAACAACAGACACATTGTTCAAAAATCATCAGATGGATTCCATTGCAGTGATGAAGATAACAATGTCATATTTCAAGAAAAAATCATATATTGAGACAGGAAAACCCTTGATTTAGTAGTGGCTCCATAAGGAACCTTTGGGCATGATAGGGTTAAGCAGGCATTGATTTTACTTTACGAGGGGCAGTCAATAAGTTCCAGAACACCTTTGTAACTTTGAGATCCCTTTCATGAGGAAAATGTTAGTAATAGCATTTGAAAGCTCATTCTTTATTGTGAGTTTGGTACTAATGATTAATTTTTTAAACATACATTTATTGTAGATATGACCTCTGGGAGTGACCCATGTAAAAACCACTGGGAAAATTTGCAATTTTCTGACCTTGAGAGTTGTGCACACATCAAAGTATGATCACTGCTGAACTATGCAGTCAAGGGCATTCATGAAGGCTTAATAAAAGTCATGGGTGATGGTTATTTTCATAAGGTCTTTATGAATATCCAGTTCAGCAGTGATCCTAAAGTCTATTTGGCAGCAAAATATGCACTTGGTTGAGGACAAAATATTTGATGGATGGGGAAGTGAGAGGCAAGAAGTCAAAGAGATATGTGTATATTTGGCCACAGGTAGGTCATCAGGGGGCCAAAGGTTTATGACACACTTCAGTGTTGTCAGATAAAGGACAGCACTTTTCAGTCAGCTGAGAAAGATCCATTGGGATCCCGCTTCACCTGATTGAATGAAAAAAAGGTGGCAACTCTGATTTTCAAGGGAAATCATCATTAACCATGTCTCAGGTGAGGAGCATATTTAATGACCAAGGCTCCCCCTTGACATGTCACATTGAAGTGGCAAGTCTATCTTTTGAAATCGAATAGAATATATTGATGTATGCATGACTCTCAAGGTCAGAAAATTGCAAGTTTTCCCAGTGGTTTTTACATGGGTCACTCCCAGAGGTCATATCTATGAGAAATATATATTTGAAATATTAATAATTAGTACCAAACACACATTAAAGAATGGGCTTTCAAATGCTATTACTTACATTTCCCTCAGGTAAGGGATCTCAAAGTTACAAAGGTGTTCCTGGAACTCATGGACTGCCCCTCGTATGTCAGTTTCTGTTAACAAAGAAATCCAAAGATGCATATTACCTGTATTATCAGGACATCAGTTTTAGTTTATCATCAGATAATGGGAATCAATAAACTTATCTGAAACTGGAGTAGCCTACTGTACCTCGAGAGTTGGAATTCGAAATCCATCTTCAAATAATGGCTGTAACTCAGTGAAGCTGGAAAATGTGAGTATTTGCTCCTGCTTGGCTGCTTGCAAGAACAAGAGGAATTGGTTCTTGAACTCAATTTTTGGCTGCTCATGATACCAGGAAGTCCTCTTCCACAAGTCTGGAAAACAAATTGGTCATTAAGCAACAAGTTCTTCCCATACAGTTAAAAAGTCTCTCAGTTTTACATAATTGCATTCTGCTTCATGCTGGGATGGACAAGGTTAACTACAATTTGAAATTTACTTGTATGACAAGTATTCCAGTATCCTGGTTCAAAATCAGGTAAAACTGGCAAGATAAGCAAGTGAGAGAAAATGATTTAATTTGCACATGCAGAGAAGCAAAATAAGAGCATAGAATGCCTGCACATTAATCAAGAAGACAGAGGAGCATAGATGTAAAAAAAATGTTTAAACATTTTTTAAAAAGCCAGCTAAGGATGACTTAGATCAGTTGCATATTAAGTGAAGAGAAAGCAAAGCCTTTGTCTGTTTCTTTTTTCTGAGGCTAAGCTCCCAATGAAGCATAGGGAAAGTATAGCCAATCCTCAATATGATGCCACTGTTTGTCATCTCTGATGTTTGGCACTGTGACACAGGTCACATGCTATTGAATTAACTGCAGTATACTAATGACTGGTACCAAAATCTTCCAAGGACAAACTGACTAAATGGATGTGATGCTTATATTGCCATAGTTCAGTTTGAAACTCTAAACTTATCCTATGCTCTATTCATTCCACAGCTATGAGCCACATCTCTTGGTGGAATTTTCAGCAGTAATTATTTATGGATAAGGGTTGTAGTATGTATGTTACTTAGTGCAAAATCAAGGAGGATATTCATGCAGGATAAAGCATGTGTACATAAATGATGGTGCTGCTGGATGGCAGCCTATGAAGGTGGTGCTCTTATGGGGGATTAACTAAGGTAGGCTTATGGGAAAGATTTGTTCTCAATAAAGAGTAGGTGATAAGTGAAGGTGGTGGGATACAGAGTGGCAGTATATTGAGGGTTGACTGTATATCTCAGAAGTTTGCCAAAAAAAAGGGAGAAATTTCACAAACAATCATTCTGCCTGCAAAAGCCTGTCATCAGAAGGGTTTTTAGCCCTGGAAGCAAATCTGTGTTTAAACTGGCACACTGCAAAATGCAATTAAATTGGAAATTGAATATTCTAAGGCTTAACTCACCCTGGGACCAGCTTGCAAGAAGCAAGGGGAGGAAAATTTTAAGAGATGTGATCAATACCCAGAAGAGGGATGCCTTGGTAAATATTGGAGTGAGGTAATTGCATTGGATGTGCTCAGAGTGCACACAGAATGGAGCCATGGGTCAAAGGAAAAAAAGGAAATGTCTCTGCATTTGCCAGTCCACCTGCATAACTATTACTCAATTGTATCAATGCATCAAATATTAATTATTGCTATTCATAATCCTTGTTCACTTCAGAGAATTAAGAAATCTGTATCCTTAAGATGCACAAAAGGGAAAGGTATGTAGCAGTAAGGAATGGGAGCTGGAATTTTTTTAAAAAAGAATCCAAAAGCAAAAAGTGTCATCAGTAAGCATTAAACAAAACAATATATAACTCATTTTCCCCAACAATTTTCTCAACAAATACTTCAATGAGTTGAAATGAATTGGGTTTCTAAATCAGGAAGACTTGTAAACAATTTCAAGAAACCCTATGACATTAAATAGTACAAAATCCAAAAGTTTCACATGAGAAGTCACAAACTTCAGCTCCCCAAAGTTGTAGAGGGAAGGAGAGTACCTCCTGCCATGCACTTCATAGAAAATCCACTGAGTTTTGCTTACCTCCTCCTATTTCAGAGGAAGTTTGGAACAAAGATTCCAAACTATTGCCAGGTGTAAAGAATAAAAGGACATACTGCAGAATGTATACTAGTTTCTCCCTTTCACATGTATATGACATAGGCAACATCCCTTACTGGTCCTGCTATGGACCTCTCCTAGCAGATTTACAATGATGCATCTTTCTCCTATCTGTATGTTACTAGAAATTCCCATGATGATTACATTTTCTGCATCTTTATGCAAAAGCAGTTTAGTGTACACTTCTATCAAATTTGCATCAAATTAAGTTCCAGTGCACAATTAAAGGGTTGAAATGAAGGCTGGTCTACCCTTAAAAAAGCTGCTTTTCAAGCTTCAGAGGGAAAGAGTGGTCCATGCACATTGAACTGCTTTTGTGTTTAGATAGGCTCTTCTTTTATGGAATGGAAAAGTGGTCCATTCAATTTCTCAGGACAACTCTTACTTGCAAATGCACTTGCAATGTAATATAGTTATCTACATTGATCCTTGCATAGAAGCTTCAACATATTGACAGCTGGGTCTGATTTGTACTCAACAGTATAATGGAAAACAAATAAAAGAGAAGCAGAACCCAGCTGTCACTCTATTAACCTTCTCACTGCTATGATTGAGTTAACTTGAGCACAGAACATGTATCTTTTTACAGAATTTCTTTTTGTGTTTCTTACCTGAGATTTTTCAGGACAATCTGAACCAGTCCAATTATACACTTACATATAAGGTAAATGAGAGAACATACATTTTTTTTATAAGTAGGACCCACAATGTTGCACTGGAAGCAAAAACCTCAACACAGTGAAGCATAAAGAAAAAGAATGTAACAATGAAAGGGTTTAGCAAAGAGCTTCTGGCAACTTTGATGTCTGTGAATAAAGGTAGGCCCAGGACATTTCAATGATTTCATGTCATCCAGTTCAGTTTTAATTTCTACACCAACATTAAACTGCCCTAACTCAAGTTTCTTTTAACTAAAACTGAAAAAGACTAAATCAGAATGCAACTAAAATTAAATTAACAGTGCCCTTGGGCCCCCATTGCAAAAACTTGGGAATTAAATAAAATGACAGGAGTAATTACATGTCTCCCAGTTCAGTCACCATTTCAACTCATCCTCATTTACCTGCAGCTAGAAATAAACGGTAAATTAATCGATTAATTAATCAAAATACTTTTTAAAATTTAGTTCATGTCCAATAAATTAAAATAGAGATTAAAATGGAGTTAAATTAGTTAAATTGACAGAGCCCTTAGGGTTTCCATTAACAAAGCACAGGAATAAATTGAAACAAGAAACTTGTTTCAGCGTTATGACCCACATAAGGAAATTATGGGTGTCTACAAGGGGTGGAGGGGAAGGTTTGGCATTCCTTCCAACATGTGCTACTTCGTGATATAAACATTGCTCTAATACTGTAAGCCATGGAAGGTGCTTAGGTCAGTCAAGTGAAAAATGCCACATAAGATGGTGTAGAGGTTTAAAATATTTTTGGATTTTACATGTGTGCTGATAATATATAAAGAATATCACTTCAGATGTAGGGAGTTCAAATGAAAAGGGGAAAGCATAATAGCATGGCTACAGGCATTGGAATGAATTCAAACTTACCACAAATGCTTCATATATTCTCTTGCCTATTTCTCTCAAAAACATAACTGCTTTCAATATGACTGCATATCTGGAGGAATTATATCCAGCATTGCTGAATATTTCTAATCATAATTCAATATTGGTTCCATGGGACAGCAAAAGTTTTTTTGTAGAAAATGAGACAGCATAAGGAATTCCACACGCTGATTTGCTCCCAACAAATACTACAGGGCAATTTGTGAGTTTGTTACCACAATGCTCCTATTTCCATCGAGGGACAAATTTGCACAAAAGGAAACAGTATAAAATTTTAAAATAGTACCTTTTGCCCCCTACAGTATATCTGAACTGCAACCTGCCAATTTAAAAACCAACAAACATAGAGGAAATAAAATAACAATCAATACTGGAGCATTGTCCTCACAAAATTGTAGCATAAAATTTGTTGTTGGTTTCAGAATAGATGACTGTTGTGTATCACTTAAATTTGAGAACATTTTAATTACTTTGATGATTAAAACCTTTAATCTAATAAGGAAAAAATGTGCTCTTTTCAATAGTGTAATTGATTTCCTCTTGGAGAAAATGCATCCCTCCCTGAAAACATAGGCATAGGGGTAAAAAGTTTATAAATCACCCTGTGTGGATACTGCAATACTATATCAGTTATGACAACCTCTCCATGAGCCATATATGAGTTAAAAACAATAACAGTAAATTCCTCTCCAGGTCAATCAGGTAGTACAGATTGGATTTATAGATCTATATTTTTGAGGAAGAGGTATCAAAGTTGCACCCTTCAGGAAACAATGTATTACAGAGGTACCAGAATTTGACCAAATGTCCCATTGTATATTCCAGGAAAACATCCATTTATTGGCAACAAGAATGAATGAATCAATACCAGCAAAAATTGATTCAATAGCAGCAAACCAATTTTCAGCCAGAACTCCGAGCATTGGTAGGTCTAAATGTAAGGATAAGCAATGAGGTGTCCTCTTCCTACAAAGAGGTGGAATGGATTAGTTGACAAAAACTGTATCCTGTCTCCCTCAAGAGTGGAAATGAAGTAATTACCATCTATTCAAGCATGGAGAAAGATGTGAATTTCTGTTGCTTGACACCAATGCCTCCAGGATGCAATTAGGTTCATTTTTTTCTTTGACAGGCCTAGACCTGAGCCTGCTTGACATCTGAAAATAGAGACAAGTTGATTCATGGGCAAATGTTGCTTCAATGCATAGACCAATAACTACGAAGGAAAACTGAGAAATTGATGGTGCCCAAAGGATGTATCACAAGATGTTAGTTAAAGTCTGAACACTAGGCAAGATAATGCTGGCAATAGCAGCAAAGTTAAGTGGGATTGGTATGTGAACTTATAGCTGAAACCATTCTCAGAGCATTAACCCTTTGCAATCCACTGTTGGACATAGTCCAACAACCTCCATAGCTGATCCTGGTGTTAGCTGATACAATGGTACAGCCCTAGTGATTTTACATCCATCAGTTTACATACGATTTCTATCTCAGTTTAGACCAGTTTCAATTAATCTCCAGTGGGAGTCTGCCAAAGTGAGGATAAATTGTAGCTTGATGAAAGGGCATGATGCCCTCATGAACAAAACAAAAAAGGGAGATGAATAAGCATCATGTAAAACCAATTCCCATATAACAGTCTGCTCAATTTACAGTGTTTTTCATTGGAATCCGATAATTTTCCATCTTACTCATGTGCAGGATGTTCCTAATGCATGAGTATTGAAGTCAAGTGAAAAATTGTCTGACTCAAGTGAAAAACAATGTAGTTGATTCCCATGGGGTAGACAAGTGGCTTAGTAGGTAATGGGCTTGACACCCATGGCAGAGAACCCAGGTTTAACCTCAACTAAAGTAAGAGTCCATTTTCGAGTGGGGTTGGGAAAAAAAAAAAAGAAACTCAAGGAATTGGCACTCCCATCTCAGGATATGAAATGTTAAAGATTCTCAATGGTGAAGGCTGAACCCAGCTAGTATATTCCTGGAGTATCCACTCAGGCCAAATTGAGTCTCTCAAGGTGGCTCATTTGGTTGAAATTACATGGGGAAGGGTATAGATGGGAGGGAGGAAAAGTTGGTGTTCCAGAGTAGCACAGCAGTGGGCCTGGTGCCTCTTATGCACATGCTGTATCATATCCATGCTTTTCTAATGGGAGGTCTGAAAATATCGTTCATTCACCACAGGCTTAGTTTCAGTTAACTGAAGATGAACTGGAATTGCTACTGAACTAGGTGGGATGAAAACGGGGATGGTGTACAACTTGAAACCCAAGTGGATTTATTTTTTAATCTCATTGCAATGAACGAAAGTAAAATCTAAAATCACAACAATCACAAAACCCGCTGTTTCGGCACTTTGTCGACAACACGGACGCCAAAATAATGGAAATTAAATACTATGTTTGAGTACTACCGCTAATAGGCAGGCCTTGTGGGCTCGTTACTCTGACTAACGTTTCGTCAGCTCTTTTGGGTTTTCACTAAACCCAAGTGCACCGCATAAGAACTATGAACACATACCAAGGGAGCCGCATTAATTCTATGTTGGGCCGAAATAGTGAGAAAGTCAACCTATTTTAGAGGATGATGGGTCGGTTTGGACCTGGGAGAAAATAATGGGGGTCCATCAACTGTGGCAGCGCAATAACAGGTCTCGCTGGAATGAGGATGAAATTAATGAAGGGTGTAAAGTTGTACACCGTAGCCGTGTTAACTCGAAGGATATAATCTCCCAATTGTCCATGGAATCGCCATGGAAGACGTTAAAACTGGTACGAATTAACAGTAGGTCTACCTGTTGGAGTTGAAAAATGAAATTGCAAAAAAATTTCCCATGAAAATATTGGCCAAAAGTCTTGCGTGTGGCTCTCACGGTCTCTCGTGGGCGGCAAGTGCCTATCATGCTGTTATGACGGTGCCATGTTGCCGGAGGAGGAGCTTTTGGGATTCACGGGAAAATATCCAATCGTTTCAGTGCTGCAGGAACAGGAAAAGACGAAATCCTTTCGAACGCATGAAGACGATAGGGGTAGGCCTAGTACTCTTGTTAAAGTGAAATTTATTCTCCGACCAATCCACAATTCTTCTTGTGGGGAAATAACTTTTAAGCTGAAGAGAGAGATTGCAATAGGCTAGTCCACAGCTTCGGGTAGCCTAGCTCACCCTTGTCGTGCCCTTGTTGGCCTAATGAGCAATCGATCGCATTGTCGCATCCCATTCCAATTTCCATTCCATCGCGGAGTGTTAATCGCGAGCATGGCGGTTCGATCTTCCTTCACCTCCTGGTGCCGCCAAGAGCTTGTGAACGCTGTTTTTTTTAATCTCTGTGCTGGCTTATGCCTTTATACGTTCGTGACGAGAGTTGCGTTAGGCCTAGCGTTAAGCCCGAAGCAGAAGTCGCTACGTAGGTGTACACCCTGGTTTACAAGACTGACGTTTGGGCGTTGCTTGCCAAGGCACTAGCCCAAAGGCAAAACCAGTTTATTATTCCATTAGTATAGGGGAGCAAATATGGGTACAACACAGCTTCATACCAAAGTGCTCCATTGGATCAGGACTGAAGATCTACAATATTAAGAATGGAGGGGGAAGGGAATGGGGAGAGTGAAAGGATATGAGGCAAATCCTAAATAGGAATATTTAAATAAATCAACTTAAGTGCTCTTTATGCGGGTCAAACAATTTTTCAGTTGACTCGGACACCTGTGCAGAGGATGTTTCTATTGCAGGAGTGTCAAAGTCAAGTGGAAAAATGTCTGACTCTAGTGAAAAATACTTCTATCAACATTGACACATCATTGGTTTATTATTAGGATTGTCAAAGTACCTGAATGTTCACCCTGGGTTGCTTTGGTTGGAATAGAAACTTATAAACTTACATGTTGCTATTATAATTAAGTTTCATATTTCTAGGAAAGTTTTCTTTAAGCATTTCATTAATTGCTTGCTAAAGATCTTTTGATATTTCAATTTGCTAAGAACTCTATCCAGCATCTGTAATTAATTTGTAACTGTGATTGTCCATGCTAGAAATGTAGTTTTCACTACTGGCTCCAAAATTACCAGGCAGTATTTTATGTATGCATTGAGATATCTAGGCATGCATGAGTTTAACCTCATCTTTTTCAAGAATCAGAGGATCAGAATCTTTTTATTATGTTTGATTCATTTCAGATTGGTTGCATTTTATTTCAGAATGGCAGAATTGCTTTGAATTTAGGTCTTTGATTTAGGTCTTTTGCTGCTGTAGAGCCATGAAAGTTGCAATTTATTTCAGATTCTGATTCACCTTTTTTTTTTTAATCAGAGCTTCCTTTTTGGCTCTTGGTTCTCTTGGACATATCAGTAGGATCTAGAGTTATCTTTCATTAATGACTGCATTTCTGAATATATCTTCTTTGACTCCTTTACTATAGGAAGTTTTATTCAGTTTTTCAGTAGCAACCTATTCCTTCAATAACATTTCTCTCTGGTCAGCCTCTGATATATTTGAAATTGTTTGTGACTGCTCAAACTAAATGATCTATTGAGAACTAATGATCATTACCTAGGCTTTAGATCTGGGGCAATGGGAAAATGAGAATAAATTATTTGGATTTGAAAAAGTTCACATTTAATAGCTAAATTTAATCCAATTGCTTTTATGCCAATTGAACCATCCATAAGTTCATGTGTTTTTAAGGGCTTTTCTGAAAAGACTAACTCCCTTAAGTAATCCATGAGGATTCATGGTAAAATGTGTTATTTCTTACTTAACTTTTTATATTTAAAAATTTGAGATGGTGGGCCTTATACTGACTCATTTTTGCTTCTTCCTGTGGAAGGACAACCTGCTTCATCATGGAATGACTCACAAGGAACATGAATAGACCTATCCTAGACCTAGGTAGAGATAGTGTGATTGGTTATGAATAAAGAAGTTATGAAGTGAACTGAGCCTTGACCATTAGGTATATCCTGTGAAGATTGCTGTATGATTTTGTTTTTTCTTTGTTTTCTTGCCTTCTTTCTTCTTTAGGCAAACAAATCGCAAGTGTTTTTCCCTATTCTTTATGTTTTATTTTTTTCACTTTGTGACTTTTCTTTGTAATATGTCATTAGTGACCGTAGGTGCAACCTTTATTCATATTTTTTTTCTAAGCTGGATCTCAGATTTTAATTGGACACAACTGAGCAAATGCAAGCTCAAATGGATGGCATTAAGGCTGAGGAGAGTCGAACCAACTTGATCGTGAACTATCTGCCTCAGACGATGACTGATCGTGAACTGCAGAGCATGTTCATCACCATTGGACCCATCAAAAGTTCCAGAGTTATGAAAGACTATAAAGTAGGTCTTCAAATGCAGAATTTTTTTCAAGATTGGCACAGGTTACTAAACATGATTCATGTCCTAATCTCAATTGTAGACTGGGTATAGTTTTGGCTTTGGGTTTGTGGACTTCCAACGGCCAGAAGATGCAGCACGAGCCATACAGACCTTAAATGGGCTTGAAGTCATGAACAAAAGAATCAAGGTTTCCTATGCCCGGCCTCCTGGTGAAAATATCAAAGATACCAACCTCTACATCTCTGGCTTGCCCAGGTAAACATTCAGTGTTGCTGCAAAGAGAGTTGACTACTCAATCTTGCAGTTCATGGTTAGAGTTAACTCAATGTTGTTGGCTTCCACTTGCAGAGATGTCACTGAGGATCAGTTGGAAGATATGTTTTCCAAGTTTGGGATGATTGTTCAGAAGAATCTCCTCAAGGATAAGAGCACAGGTTTACCTCGAGGAGTAGCATTTGTGAGGTGAGTATTTCTTATATGTTTGGTGTTATGAAAAATTAGGAGTCTGGGAAGGCACTCATGACGAGGAGCTGGTTTTAAAATTAATCTCAGATGAAAGTTTTCAAGTTATTTTATCATATTTAATAGTTCTCTTCATGATTTTTCTAAATGCAGAATTTGCACTGATTTCATCCACATGACAATTTTCAATCCAACATAATGTGTGAAGCCCTGCTTTCTCTTTTTCTGATTTTGATTTTTTTAAATGTATATTCGAGGTATAATTATACCAGATAGACCTTTCATATCACCAGAATATACATAGTATATTCAGAGAATGTAGTGGAGTGATCAAAATAAGAAAATTGATTATTACATGCCCTCAAATTTTTATCTCCAAGTGCAAAAGTTAACTTAAGTCTCTAAATGTTGAAATGTGCCTAGCATTCATTCACTTACTGGTAGTGCTTCCACTGCCAGGAAGTCTCAGAATATCAAATGTCAGCATCTGAAATTAAAATCACAGTGAAAGGGTTATAGCAATTTTTTAATCTTACAGAGAATTCTATATATATTAGTGACAAGCTTGAAAATGAACAAAACAAAACAAAGCTTGGAAACAAAACATTGCTATTATTCTTACTGATTAAGAACAAGCATGAAGCTAACTGCTTCCTTTGCAACACTTTTACCAGAAATAAATCTGAAGTATTGCCTCTTTTTTTTTTCTTCATTGTAATACAGTACCTACACTTGAATGCATTTAATTATTACTCGTGATAGAAAGATTATGTTAGAACCCAATGGTTATGTGTCCACTGACATCATCAGAGTAATTGAATAGACATTGATGGAATTCCCTTGTTCAACCCACTTGGTTGAAGAAGGAAAGAGTTTTAAGCCATGAAACCTTGCATTCTTATGGATTTTGCAGCAATCATTCAAAGGGCAATTCATTAGATCTCTTGGCATTGTCCTGGAAAAATTACCACCATTGGAAGAAATTCCTTATTGAGATAGTGCAAGATCTTTTTTGAGAAACCTAAGCACTCTCTAGAGATGACTTGTTGCAATTGCAGTTTCTTATATCTCTCTCGCCTTTGTGGAAACCTCCTTTGTTCAAGTAAATGTCAGATGGTAAGCCTGCAACTCATTTGTTTCATCACTGAGTTTGTTACTCATGACCCATATTAGATCAAATATGTGGATGAGTTTGTTTTACTAGCTGATGTCCCTCTTTTGGCACTCATGACATGACATCAATGGGCACAGCAGGCCATTTTCAATTCTTATTGCAAAATTTATGAAATCCCATAAGGGTAGGTCTTTGGATACAAAATAATATGTGGGCAAAATTTAAGCAGTTTGGCTGCTAGAGTGCTAACAAGTACATAGACAGTTGACAAAGTGCAATTCTCTGTGGTAGTCAATGCTTGTTTTGCATGAACTATATGTTGAATCTTCCTGGCCTACATTTTCTTGATTTTGAATGTATATCTGTGGCAAAAAAAGCTTAAGGATTGTCACTATAAATTCCTCTTGGTTGCTACATAAATTGAGTTGTGCATATTTGAGTTTCTACATGGCTTTTCAGATTAAGATGTGTCTATACTGTTGAAAGGTATGACCAGAAGCAGCAAGCTGAGGCAGCTATCCTAGGTATGAATGGGAAAGTGCCAACAGGGGGAATTGAGCCCCTCCTTGTTAAAGTGGCAGAGGAGCATGGAAAACAGAAAGCAGCATTCTATGCTGGATGGACAGCAGGCCTTCAGCAACAGAAAGGTGAGGGGCCACTTTGAAACTTATTTTCCTCACTAGTTCTGTACTTGACAAGCTTCAGTGAGTGCATTTCAATGTGCTTTCCTGACCTTAGCACTTGACTCATGTTTTGAGATGATATCAGAGTAATTCATGTGATTTTTGCTCATTCATGCATAGTTGTTGCTTATGCATTTTCTCATGTTTGCAAGCCAGCACTAGTGGAGAAGGTAAGCTGTCACCACTATCCATGCATGACTTCTTGTAGTGGAACTTACTTCCCATTTTAATGTGCACTTAAATTTCTCTTCTTAATGAGTTGATAGTAATGCTATTGAGGACAAACATTTTTTTTATTTGACTCACAAGTGTTAGAAGAATGCAGAAATGCCCTTGGCTCACTGCCATTTTAAAGGTATCAGTGCCATAAATTCCCAAATTTATTTTTTAATTTTGCAACTGCTAAGATCCAAAGTAGATAACTTTTGTTTACGTCTATCTGAACAATAATGAATTTTCTTGACAGCCTCATTGAATCTTTAAAATTATGTCAAAGGAAATAGATTGACATACAAAATATTTTACATATGGGAAATTTGGAAGAATGCAGACATTTAATAATCCTGTCAACATGCAAGCACAATTGACACTGATATGGCATCACTGCTCGGATGTAGAAGAAGCTGGGTCAGAGTTGGGGCCAATACATAATTACTGTGCCCTCAAAAAGCTCTCCATCCCTACGAAAAGCTTAATACCTGTGTTCTTCGTTTCTTCAGTCACCAGGCCAAATTATCAAAATGCCTCTTGTTCTAGATGAAAATTATTTCTGTATCAAGCACTGTAACAACTTGATTATAACATTGTCATAAATGTCAAGACATATTCATGATGTTAGGCAATGGCATTGGCATCCCCTCTGGCAGTGAATGTGATAATTTATTGGTGGGCTAATACACCTCTGCTACTAAAGGGTTAACCCTTTCAGTCCTGAATTATATTCTTGACCTTAAACAAATGTGTCATATACTTTTTGGGCTTCAACTAGGCTCACATGAAATAAAAGTGCTTTTAAAATGGGTTTCCTTTAGGTTTAGTATTTAAAAAATATTTATTAAATTATTTTAAAAAATAAATAATTAATTAAATTGATATTTAATTAGTTCTGCTAGTACTCATATCCCCATTTTTAGTCATATATTTCCCAGCATTCCTGTATTACTTTCCATTATCTAGCTTGCAAAAACAGAAAAAATTGACCAAGGAAGAAATGTATTAGTTGAAATATATTCGAAAGATGACACCATTTTTGAAGTGCTGGAAGAAATACAGCTGCTTCATATTACTGTGGACTGCTGTCAACTTGACAACATGAGGTGAACTATTATAAACTGAGACTCAGAATCCTGCCATGGCCTCAAGGTCATGCATTACTGTGTAACCCTATAACATGCAAAGAAAATGTGAGACTCCTGAGTCCCACCTGAACTGAAAGGGTTAAACACGTTAGTGCATACCAAAATGTACAACTTGCCAGTGCTGTCTGTCCTGGGCCACTACACCCACTCATAGCACATGGGAGGATCTCCACCTGTATGGTGAGGACAGCTAACTGGTTGCTCCAGCCTGCATGAAAATGTCTAGATACACTTACTCTGCTTCTGAGTGAGTCCAGGGGGATCAGTGGTTCCCAAGGTTAAGGCAGATCATATGGTCAAAGAAGCAAAACTAGCACTTCCTTATCAGAACCAACATGACTCATTGTCCCATCATCCTTGGAACTTCCATGCTAGTCCAGGAGTCACACCAGCTAAAGCCCAGAAAGCAGTGCAGTGATAAAAGTTACAAAAGCATCCAATTTTTGACAGAGCCCACTAATCTTTGTCCCACATCCTTACAGCAAGACAAGCAGCACTATTCAGGAGTTATGCTCAACGATAAAACTTTTAGCCCTTCAATGACAATGACCCTATGGAAAGAAAATATCAGCTGTGATTTTTAAAAAATTGTGCTGTGGAACCTTGTCTTCCAATATAAGTCAGAGTGATATGATGTGCACTGTTCATGATGTATCATCATGTTTTGGCCAAGTTGATGAGTGCATAATAAGCTGTGACTTAGTTGTCAAGAGCAGGTAATGCTAGCTTTGTTTTTTACTGGCATTTTAGGCCAAAAATAACCACCCATCCTTTTGTAAGAAAGAAAACCAAAGATGATTTTCTGCATGAAAGTTTCTCTCTTGTCATAATTTCCACTTATATATAATCATAATTAGGGTTCCCAAATGTTACATGTGGCCATCAGAGGAAGTCTCAAATAGTAATTTAGAAAAAATAAGTCAACCTTTCTGCAATAAAATCTTCACAACTTTATTTCTGAATTTTCTCTGTTGTATTTCACATGCTGAATGCTGTGATGACACTCTCATGTCCACATAATTGTATTGATGCCCTTCTGCTTCATCTGTTGCTGCCATTTCAATTGTCTTCAGTCTTCAAGCTCCCATGTTGTCTTTATTCCATCTTTTGTGTTTCTTCCAATATGTTCTGTGTCAATACATTCATGTCAAGATGAATTCTACTGGACAGCCTGTATTGTGCTATTTTTTTTGTGTTGAGTGCTATTTTTTTAAATATTACATCCAGCAAGGGGGATGGGGCCGAACCGCTACGCCGGGATGGGGCGGGCCGGGTGGGCGGGAGGTGGCCCGGCTCCCACAGGAGCAATGGGACGGGGCGGAGTGCAGGGCTTGGGTGCCATGAAGACAGATCGCATCAACAACCGATACAACCCCATTGGGTTTGGTGGAGGCTACAACATGTACAACTGGAGCTGAAAGATTCTCCAACTATGTCTATCTTTTTCTTTGAATTGAGTTGACCGTTTTAGGTCAACTGAAAACTTTTGGTTTGACTCTCCCCTCAAGTGTCTGCTGCTTTGGATCCTGTGATTGGAAATTTAGTCCCCATGTGTTTGCCATCGGGGCATTATTCACACTGGGCAAAATGGCCTTGGTTCTGATTTTGTTACATATATGGGTTGCTTACCAGCAAGGAAAGTATGAAACAGCATTACTATGTATCGAAGAGGAATAAAGATGACTTGGCAAATCAGACACACTCTTCTACTGTTTTTTGTCAGGTATGCATCAGAATCCTTCAAATACAGTAATTTCAGGATCTCATAACTTCTCAGGAACCTTTTGTGTTGTAGAGACCCAGTTTAAAATCCCAACTGGAATATTCCAGCTGGACCAAATCTGTAAATTAGGACCATTTCCAGCTGGCAAAGAGCTAGAAAACAGTAGGTACCAGTTGTTTCTTAGCTGGAATTCTCCAACTGGAATACAGCTGGTTTTAATAGCTGTTTCCAGATGGAAATTTTCCAGTTGGAATTTTATAGAGGACCCTACAGCTGGAATGGGCCTGAATTTACAGCTGGAGTCCAGCTGGGATTTTAAACTGGGGAGGTTTTTAAATGTAACAAATTTCACATATTCATAATCCCAAGATGTAGCTGAGGTATGGTGGCTGGTCAAATTTGTATCACTTCAAGGAACCTTGTAGAAAGCTGTAGGAAACGAGTACTGCACCATTAAGGTCTGGAGTTTATTGCAGTTGTTAGTTATCAGCTTTCATTGTAAATGCCTGGAAGCACTGCTCTACTTTCTCAGATATGCCTGTATCAAGGTAGTTGGTTTTGACAGTATGGAATGTATGCTGTAAGTCATGGGTGACATTTCTATTGTCATGTCTGTTTGTCAGTATCTCAATTGTGCTCATATTCCTATCAGTGAGCATAAGCCTAAAGCCAACTTCCTGATGCTTTACATCTCATTTCATACTGTAGCTTCCTAGCATTTCATTTGGAAGGGATACTGATGAGATTTCTTTCAAAATCAATGGTGGTGCTGGCAGTTGGGGAAAACGGAAAGACGTGAGCCTCTAAAAGTGCTTACCCTACGATTCTTAGCCTAGGCGCTCGCATGCCATTCAATTCTACGCTTTCGCACGACCAGATCGATGAGCGTCGTCGAATGAAGCGTTTACGTTTCAACATTCTTTATACTGCTAACATCTCTTTATTAATTGCTCTCATTCATCTAACTGGGCTTCTGAAATTTCTTCCTGGAGAAAACCCATGAACACAACTCTTGAATTCCATCTGTTTCACTGCCGAGATTAACGCGGCCAGCCGTGAAAATAGCGATACGGATATAATCCTGCTGTCCCCCAGTTGGGACAGCAGCAGCATCTAATCAGCTTTCATATGGCTCGGGTCGACAGGCTTTGGTGGCGGTACCCCCCTGAGGTGGATGGGGGAAGCGTCCCACTGCTCCACAAATGTATTAATAGTTCGCTTTTTTTTTTTTTATGAGCCTCCTTTCCTGAAAGGAAAAAGACCATTTATAGTCCCGTCCTGTCCGTCAGTGTGTCCGTATGTCACATTTTGGTTGTCCGACGGTAACTAAAAAAATATTGGTTTGATCAATGCGAAAATTAGTAAGCGGGAAGATATGAACAATATACAGGCTGAGTTCGTTTTGTGCTGAATTTGCACCAAAATTGGTATGTTTATTGCAAATTTTGGATTTGAAATTTGCTAACAGAAGGGAAGCCATGAGTACCTGAGCCCTTCAGAATGTATATCACAATACGCATGAGCGTACGACCCAGGCTTTGAGCGCGGTGCCGTGTCAGCAACCAGAGCTGTCAGTGCCCTACCAATCTTCATGGCGGATGGATCCAACCACGCACAGCCCTCCATCCTCCCATCATCGTTTCATGGGCACCTTTTGTCTATGTTTACCTAATATAAATCAGGAATGAGGTTTTTGATGGTCGAAGACCGGAAAGAGATGGCATTTTGTACAATTAGGTGACAAAATGAGAGTTTCCTTAGCTGAAAGGAGGCCCACTACTGGATTGAGCTTGCCCAACTTGTTATATCCCGCCGTGGATGATGTAGGTTCGTGATGTTTTCGTATCACGTTGGAAACATCACAAAATTTGTTTTCTGCTAGTTTCATGTACTCATGTTGAATAAAAATCGACAGTGGGTTCAAAGTTGAGTAAAAAATTTACCTTTTCCGCGCATGAGGCAGATGGGTTTTCAGCACTGCTGGAATGATTTATTTCCCTCGACACCATAAATGCATATTTTTATTGTTCTCATTGTAGTATTCTGCGTAGTAATGATTCTGATGCTACGGTGTACAGTACAACAGTAGTACTATTCTACGACGTGTCGAATACTACAAGGACATGGCGTAAAAAGCAGTCTTTATGGCGTCAAGTGAGAGAAATCATTCAAGCATTTCTGAAACTCCATCCACCTCATGCGCGGAAAGGATAACTTTTTACTCCACTTTGAACGACTGTCGATTTTTATTCAGGCAACCTATGTACATGAAACTTTCAGAAAACAAATTGTGTGGTGCTTCCAATGTGATACATCACGAACCTAGATAATCCACAGTGGGTTTTATAAAGCGTCAAACAGAACGCTTTTTTTGGGCCACCCGGTATTTACAGTACATCCAAAACATTTTTAGAGAGACATCACTAGTACATATGACTACCCGTACGTGGGATAACAATGGCTTCATGGTTGAGCCCAATTTACTCCTTTTTGACTTGTCAACGTGTCGGAGTAGGAAAATCTTTGACCATTCAAGAGCAACAGGCAAACAGAGGAGAGAACGATTCACAACACGGCGCGGATTTTGATTGTCAGCCCGGCTTCGGTTTCCAACGTTCGGAAGAGGAAACACACGGAGATGGAGAAGAGGGGACCGAAGAGGATCCGGTTTTCGGCTATCAATTCCTTTGACATTGATAAGTCGGGAAGTACAGTATATACGATTTACGCGGAGACCAAGTGACCGGGAGACCGACCCCTAATTAGTGAAATGAAAGAATCACAGGCTCAAACATGGTTATGCCATATTTTTTAGTGATGGAGTTATTATTCAGGAGCGTAATTCCGATGAAGATTTACACCAGTTGTGCAATGAATGACCAGAACTTTCTTGCCCACTCCCTGGTGTTGGTTGAAGTATCACCACAAAATTTAAATTAAGTGCTGTTGCGAAGCAAGGGCATGTTCTCTCTACAGCGAAGTTGATCCACAGATTCATAGGGATTTGCGGTTCCATGCCTATGATCTATCCAACAGTTCCCTCCACAGATTCACTCGCATTCATGCAATTGTTCGAATGCACATGCCCTGAAGCATGAGAAGTACCCAAAGATGACGATGGATAATTCCCGCTAAAATTTTTCGTTCTTCCAAGCTGAGATATGATGACAGCAGAGAGGACACTGGGCTCATCCATAATGCGATTGTTGCCTTACGTATTCTTGTATACTTCAGTGACATCTCTAAAAAAAAAAAACTTTCGGATGCACTATATTCACTTTGTCCCTGACTCCCCTATAAGGACGGGAGAGACTTAAAATTCGAGTTGAGCCTGCCATAAACTCATCCGAGATTCATTCGCTTCCTGCTTCAACTGCCGTCAAAGGATAATGGTGCATCTTAGTTTCAGTATACCCTCTGGTTCTTGCAAGAGTACTATCCTGAAATTTGAATGTTTCAAATTCCTAACGAGTGGGTAGATAAGCGAGTGACTGAGTACTCGCCAAGTGTATCGGGGTCTTTACCAAAGTTCGACGTGATGAAATGCGAACTCTTGGAACTTGGAATACCTTCAGACAGCCTCTACACCTTATTATATCCCTTCGTGCGATTTCGACACGATTTCGAACTCCGACACCCCTACGGCCAAGAGAGCATCAGAACTGGAACTGTATCGATGCCATCAGGAAACGAAGAAAAACTTACCCCGTCTGTTGCGCGAGGCAAGTATGACACTGCTTCCTGTCTCGATTCCAATGCCAGTGAGCGAAGGGACCAGCCATCGAGAACGTGAGAGGTTTACTGGTACACTCAAGGTTCAGGTCCAGTGTTACAAATCTACTTAGGTTGAAGTTCCTATATGTTGATTTTCCACCACGTTCGGATTCTTTGAAGAAGACATCCGTTCAACCGATACCACGGACAGTCGAGGTAGGTCATGGTTCCGCATTCAGAGTTGGGATTAACCCTCTGTATCCCAATGTGACTTCGGAGTAACAGTCGCTACTTTGAAATCACCCATATTATCATGAGGATGTGTGGGTAACTTTTACAGCCCATTGTGACCTCAGAGTAACACCGCTTTGTAAGTGTGCCCATTCTTGAAATACACATAAATAAATTAAGAAATCAGGTATGTTTTTCGTTCATTAATGTTTTCAAGAATACGTTTGTTCCATCTTGCAATAAATTAATTTGGGTCTAGACTTGAGCGTTTTCAAGATCGATGCATTGAGATTTCAGAGGTAAAAACGAAATTAAATCCCTTACACTATTTCCTGCTAACTCCACGATTGTCCATCCCTGGTGAATTTTTGAAGTCCTCGTCAGTCGTAGGACTCGCACTAGTTTCTCGGTAGTATCGAAATGAAGTGGGAACGCTACATTTTTCTCTGCACTACTTCAAGCGTTTTCTTCACGCTTATGTTTCTGTGCTGCCTTTGCATATTTTTTTTTCGAATCACAGGACTGTATGACCTTTTCTAAACTTATTGGCATATGCTGTTTATGGGAATCGGATTCTGTCTTCGACCATCATAATCTGCTCTCCTGCAATTAAAAATCGTTTCTGAAAGAGAAGACCCTCCATGGAAGCTGTGTAATCATAATATTACTTGGAGCGGTATTCTTCCAGGTTAGCTCACGTTAAATATTCCAGGAAAGTCACTTGGCTTCCTCGGGAACTTTCTATCTAGT